AGTCACATTTTAACAGTTTGCCTCCACAAAATATCGCAATAAATATCATACCGTGAGATGTATATTGTGAAAATATCATATCGAGAGATCTGGATATTGTTACATCCCTAACTGTGAGCCTTCCCACCGTATCGTCAGCTTTCCCACGATATCGCAATAAGTATCGTATCATGAAACTTGAGATATTGTGATATATATACTGGGTGGTCTTAGTTGGAACATTTGACCTGTTGTGTGTGTTTTGGGTTGAACATGTAAACTCCACACAGAAAAGCCCAACGAATCGAACCCGGAAACTACTTGTTGTGAAGCAGGTGTGTTAGCCACTAAGATACCGTGCCCTTTTTATTCTTTTTTTATTACTTATCTAGCTTGTGTTTAACATTTACAAACACATTCTTACTATGGGTGGGGTCACCACTCCACAGATCTGATCTATAATTTGGCCTGGTGGCGTCATCTGTTTGACTCGAGGCGATGCATAACTCTAATACCACACTCCGGAACAATGCAGGCATGCTAAGTAACATCTCCGTGGAGACAGGACATGGAGCAGTTGGCTGGCCCTCCAACAGAAAAATGACAAAGTGCAGCTTTAAATGATCTTTGCTGTGACTGGTGAGTAGGGATGTAACGATAACCGAAATATCGTGATATTGTATCATTAAAAGTCTCACAATAATATCAGTATCATGTCAGAATATATCGAATCACAAGTTCCTTTGCTTAAATTCATGGTTTTATGGTAGCAACAGCTTATAAACATTGGGAACTACATATCCCATGATTCATTTCAGCACAGACAACATGAAGAAATATGTTTTTTACTTGAATTCTTGAGATTATGATGCAAATAATTCACACTAAAATGAGGGGCACTGCAGACAAGTGGTTAAAAGCTGTTTTTATCAGCTTCAGAACATCAGTAAACTCAGACCAATTTTATCAAATGCTGAACTTGAAATGATTGTTCACTCTTTTATTTCACCTCGTTTAGATTATTGTAATTCTCTTTTTACTTGTTTTAATGCTTACAATGTACAAAATGCGGCTGCAAGGTTTTTAACAGGAGCAAACAGGCGAACTCACATTACATCTGTTTTATCTTCACTGCTCTGGCTTCCTGTTAAGCTCCGTGTTGATTTTAAAATTTTGCTTTTAACTTACAGAGCTTTAAATGGACAGGCACCCCAGTACATCAGGGACTTACTGCGGCCCTACTCCTCAGGCCACACCCTCCGGTCCTCTGGTCAGGGCCTCTTGATGGTCCCAAAGACCCGATTTAAAACTCGGGGTGACGTGTGCTTTCAGGCTGTGGCTCCCAAATTATGGAATGCCCCGCCCCTAGCCCTACGTGAGGCAGACTCTCTAGACTCTTTCAAAAAGCAGCTCAATACACTGCTATTTAGACAGACTTTTAGTTGACTGTGTCTGTAATTCTTCTTGTCTTGTTCTTGTCTATGTTGTTTTTGTTCTGTAAAGCACTTTGAGATTTTTTTATCTGTGAAAGGTGCTATATAAATAAAGATTGACTTGTTTTAAAAGCAAAATAAGGTGTCCTATCTACAATTATATCAGCCTCTTCAAAATATCGCAATAAATATCATACCATGAGATGCATATCGTGATAATATCGTACTGTGACATTTGGATATTGTTACATCTGTACCGGTGAGTGTAGGGCACTAAACCACAAGCGCTGTTTTACATCCCGGCTATAATCATTTGTTTCCTCATGATACAGCGGCAATTATTCAAATGTTGTGGTTTTTCGGCGCATGGACAATCTGTGCTCTCCACTCACACATGTTTAATGCCATACTGCGGAACATTCCAGGCATGCCAAATAACAACCTATAATCTGCAAGTCTATTATTAGTATGAATAACGTATCGATGAAAGGGTTAAGGCTGGATTCAGTGTTGAAGTGAAAATTGCTCAAAGACGTTACACTAAACACTATTTTTAAAACACCATCGCACAATAAACCCAAAGCAGGATTATCACAGGAAATCCTTGCATGAACTACACTGTAAATAAACCATAAAACAGTAGCGGTGTAACGATATTTATTGCGATATCGTGGGAAAGCTCACGATATGGTGGGGAGTCTCACGATTAAGGATGCAACAATATCCAAATCTCTCAGTACGATATTTTCACGATATACATCTCACGGTATGATATTTATTGCGATATTTTATGGAGGTTAACAAAACTTAATATGCGACTTTTTCGTCTTAAAATGCCTTGACAAGACTTAATCCAAAGAACTAAGACTTAAAAGTGCTTAGAACTGTTATTTCTTCTTGTAGTCTGCACTGAAATGGAGCAAAGGATCATGGTCTATGTAGTTCCCTCTGTCTTTTTTAGCAATTTCTGCACCATAACTCTTAATTAAAGCAAAGAGATTTGTAATTCGATATATTGTGACAGTCCACGATATTATTGTGAGAACTTTGACGATACGATATCACGATATTTCGGTTATTGTTACATCCCTATAAAACAGTAGTAGTAGTAGTAGTAATAGGCAAGGGAGTCGAATTGGACCCTCTTCCTGTTCATTTATATTGTAGTAGTAGTAGTAGTAGTAGTAGTGGTGTGCAAAAATATTGAAATACCAATATATCGTATCGTTTAATGTGATGTTACAGTATTGATATCAATTATTTAGTTACAGCTACAGTTTTGTTGCTTGTTTAGAGGAAAGAAACTTGTTTATGCAATACATTATGCAATATTTTCACTGTTTTGATGATTAAAATGTTTGTGTTTCATATGAATTTTGCACAAGAAGTGGTTTAACAAAGACTTTTAGTATCACAGCTGTGATTTTTTAAAACTGAACCATATCGAATTGATTTGACAGATATTATACACATATATCGAACCGAAAGTGCACTGTATCGAGATATGTATCGTATCGTGGCCTGTGTATTGAGGTATGTATCGTATCGGCAACTTCTTAATGACACCCAGCCCTAGTTTTGATGATTAAATTTTTTGTGTTCCATATGAAGTTTGCACAAGAAGTGGTTTAACAAAGACTTTTAGTATGACAGCTTTGATTTAATCTTTATTTTTTACTGAACTGTATCAAATCGATTTGAAATATATCATATCGAATCGAAAGCTCACTATATAGGGATATGTATCGTATCGGCAACTTCATAATACCCAGCCCTAAGTATTAGTAGTTTCTGGAGTAAGCCATTAAATGTTATACGACTTTCTATAACTCAAATGTTAACGTATGATAAAAAGATAAGAGAAAGTTAAAGATATTGAACCCAAAAATAGAGCGCATTTCTCAATTCCTAACACTCCCTCTTGTAAAACCCCTCTAGAATGTCAAGTTCCTCAGAGGTATTCAGGAAATGTGCAAAATTAGAATACTTAGAATTCTTCAAATAAAAGTAACAACTACAAAGTCATATTTCTCTTCTTTTTTTTTGAACATTTGTGATGGATCGCATAAATGCTGTTACAATGGAGTCAGCCTCACAATGCAAAACAAATAGTGAGATTTATCAGCGTTGCCCAACCCTGCTGAACACGGATCAAGTCTAAGTAATAAATGACCTGCATTGTAAAGTGAAATAAGTAAAGTTTATATGAGGACAATGCCTAAAATTCACCTGTCCAAACTGTCAAATGGGACTGAACAGTTCTTAGTCAATATAAAAATCTAGTACCCTGTATTCTAGTGTTATTCCATGTCCTGTCTGTAGATTATTTGTTGGTTTCGGCTTTCAGGGTGTAAGAAAAAAAGCGATTCTTCATTGCACAATTCTCAAACCGATTCAAAATGCATCTGAATAGATTTTTTTCATTAGCTGCCTTCACTGTTCTCATGAATTAAAAAAAGTAATAAGTTATATTTCATACAATTTGTTTCTCGTGAAGGTGTAGTTGACTATATTACTGAAACTTGATAAATTGCAATATATCATCCATTGTTTTAGTATTGGGATATATCGTGATATATTGAATTGTGACATGGATATCATATGTATCGTATCGTCAGACTCAAAGCAATGCATAAAACTTTTCACAATTCAAAAGATCTAATATTTTGCTTTAAAGCCAGACTGGTGCCACTAGTGCCTCCGCTCAATTTCATTTCTCTCCAGCGACTAGGTCAGAAATCGGAATACACTAGATGGTTCGCAAAAAAACCCCGGAAGTGCAAGTTCAGGCACCAGCCAATCAGCGAAGAGCCAGACATTCTGTGTTGGCAACGATTCCCGAGATCGAGGATTTAAAGCCAGAACAAAGAGAATGTTTGGTGAATTTTATCAAGAGGAAAGATGTTATTGTCCTTCTTACGGGATTTGGGGCATTACATACGTCACGATCAAATAGCAGCGATTGGTTCAATAAAAAAGTACCCGCCTACTGTCGAGCAAACGAATCGTAATGCTGTGAGGTCAGACGGTTTCCACAAAGTAAAACCGGCTGATGAATCAGGCTACGATGTACAGCACTTTCTGGTCTATTTTATGTTTTTTCCTCATCAAAAACAGACCTGGAGTTGTGTTTTGTTTAATTCACACACATTTAATCACACAAACCCTGCAGATTTAAGCTCTTCTCAAACAGAAAACACTCACTTCCACCTTGTGTTTTCAAACTCCACACACTTTCACTAAAATCAATTTGATCATTTCATCAATGGACTTAAAAATCTCTACTAAACTAAAGATAAAACGTAGCTGTGTATTTAAAAACTACCACTACATGACATCACAAAGTTGAACACAGAATTTAGAGCTTTGGAGATGTAAACAGACTAATACTAAAAAAATATTCAAACATGTGTGAATGAAACAAAACACAACTCTGAGTATGATGTTCTAACATGATTAAAAGCTCACAATTTTGTCAATTTTGAGTAATGTGGGACCTTTAAATTGTCAATCGCTATGGCAACGGTGCTACTTTTTCATAATTCTGAAACCCGTGGAGAGTGGGTGGACTCTGGTCTCGTGGGCTTGTAGACATAAAGCCTGTTTACGTCCATGCGTGGCGCCAATCACTGCACATTCTACGTTCTCTCTCTCACACACACACATACACACACACACACATCTTATCAAAACCAGGACGAAACCAGGTCTAGAAGGGGACCAAATCAACAGGTCTGCAGCAGGATAAACCTCAGGATCAAACCAGGACAAGGCAGCTTTGATTTCAGCTGCGCCCATTTCGATGTGTCAACTTTGCTTCAGGTGGGAAACCCCTGGCCGCGTCTTTCTCCCTCTGCACTTCCTTCCGCTCTACCTCTGCCCCCAACCCCACAAAGGTATTTTTGGTGAGAGGAATTCTAGTATTGTCACCCCCTCCTCCTCCTCCTCCTCTCACCCCACTGCTTTCCCCGTGTCGGCGGTAGTGCCATAGTTCCTTACCCAGAAGCAACAGTTTGAGTTCGCGGCGTGCGTCTCTCTTGTCTCGGCGCAGCTGCCTCTCGATCTCGTCGTTGATCCTCCGCGCTTCCTTGGCCTCTTCACTGAGGCAACAAGCCATAATGGACTCCAGGGTCATGTTATTGTCTTTCTGTGTCTCTTTTAAAACCAAACACACGCGCGTGTAAGGGCTGCTCGTCCGATCCAACGCCCCTTTTTTTTTTATTTAGCTGCGATTCATCTAGTTTTTCACAGCGAACCCACCGTGGCCTGTTGGTTATGGGCGAAGCGGCGCGCACATTCGAGTCTATATGCAACAAAATAACGCCCTTATCATGTGTCCAGCGAAAAACAGATATATTTATGATAGATTCCCCCCTCCCCCCAGTCTCCCAGGCCTCGGACACCTCCCAAATACTCGTCCAAAAGCGCGTGGAGCTAAAAGTTGTTACGCGTAATTGGCGTGATGTGTTTTCCCCCAACTCGAAATGATCAACAGATTCTTTCCAGACCCATCCCCGGTGCCGCCGTGCCTCCGCCGCCGATACCGCTGCTGCTGCTGCTGCTGCCGCCGTGGGGGACCTCGTTACGCGCTGCCATCCGTGCCCCGGCTTCCCCTCTCGCGGTACCGACAATGTTTATCCGCTAAAATATCCCATACGCTCGGGCTAGTGTCCAGTGGAGGCGAAAAAGGCGAGAGAAACGTGCATGGGGGAAAGCTGTCCGTGTTTTCCACTGGCTCGACTCCCGGGCGTGGTAACTCAGAATATGGCGGATATCACTCCAATCCGCTAGCCTGGGATACAGTACAGTTATCTGCCTCTGTCTGCTCCAAACTGCAAGAAATCCACTCATAACACAGCGAAAACGAAGCCAGGCGCGGTGCTAAGAAGCGTCCCCGTCCATCGCGATCAAAACGGTGGTTTTACGCGCGGTGAAAACGCCGTATTTTCGCTTTTCGGAGCGGGCAATCTTCTCCTTTGCCTCAATTCTCTTCATGTATTTTTATTCCAGAGGCCATCCACTCCTCCGCTGCCAGGGTGACGTCGGCTGCCTCCCATCAAACAGGAGGCGTGTCGCGTCAAATCCCAGCCCAGCGAGCCCAACCTGTGGAGTGGAAATGTGAATGAATCATGATTTCATGTCTCTCCCGGCTCCATTGGGTTTATTTTATTTATTTTTTTCCCTTTTTTATGTGCAGACTGCGGCGGCATGAATGGACTCAGACCCTATAGGCCTCCCGCATCACGCCGCCCACGACTATAGGCAACTCGAGTGAGGTGATTTACCCCCGCGCGGACGTCACTATTGTTCACTATTGTTCAGAAACACTCACAAAGTCACAGTCGCGTTTGACAATAAAGAGACACACTCGAGTCACAGCGGGTCAAATGAGAAAAGGAAGTAAAAGCTGAATGAATCCAATCGTTTTGACTCATTCTGAGGTAATAATGGGTAAAATGCAACGGACAAAATGGTCGTCTTAATAGTCTTCATATTAAAGTTGCACTGTGTAATTTTACAGGTAGGGGGTCATTCAGTCCAGTTTTCTGTCATCACCGTGCCTGGACTGACGTAGGGACATTACAGCTCATCGTTTTTTCATTTTAAGTTAATGTAATATGAAGGACAAACCATTAAATATTGCACAAAATCTCCTGTTTTCAAAGGACTGACGCAAAAAAAGAGACAAACTCAATAAACTAGATCAGTGGTGACAAACTCAAATTCACAAAAGGGACAAAATTCAAAACTGGGACTAAGTCGTGGGCCAAAAAAACATTTTTATTTCAACATTTCAGCAACATCTGCATGATTTCTCTTTTTTCAAGATATGTAATGTTAAACTTTTTCTTATTAAAATAAATGTTTAATAAAAAAATTTGCTTAAACGTTTAATCCAGAACAACTAGAATATAAAATAATAACAAAATATTAAATCAATAATGTCTCTATAGTCTATCTGTAGCTGGCGAGCAGCTCTAATACAGATTTGATATGATGTCATGGGCCAAATATAATTATATCGTGAGCCAAATTTGGCCCCTGGGCCTGAGTTTAACATGTTGATCATATTTGAAAGAGCGCTGCAAAAAAGGCAAATGTTCAAATCATTTCATATTGTCACCTAAAGCTTTTCTCACAGTGGGAAGAGGAACCACAACTTTAAGTCAAATAGGAGTACAGTTACTTCAGTAAAAATACAGAAGTATGAGTAACAGAATACTGTTAGTCAGAGGTGAGACCGAGTCATTGTTTTGCAAGTCTCAAGTCTCTGACCTCAAGTCTGAGTCAAGTCCCAAATCATTGACCTTCAAGTCCAAATCGAGTCTTGAGTCACTGGCAAAAAAAGACCAAGTCAAGTCCAAGTCGTCTCCTTTGAGCTTCAAGTCATTTCAAGACTTTAAACCAAATAATTTATATGAATTTTAAGATAAATTGTACTTATAAAAATCATAGTATATTCAATATTTATAGAGTATATTAGAGTTGTGGAAATCAGTTATTAGTTAAATTTTCCTTTTTAAATGTCTTGACAAGATCTTAGTGTGAATCATTACAGTCAGAATAGAAAGAATTCAGATTTAAAAGTGCTTCTCAGGTCACAGGTTTCAAGTCCGAGTCAAGTCCCAAGTCATTGACCTTCAAGTCCAAGTCGTATCCCAAGTCTTAGTCCATTTAATCTAAAAATAGTCACTCAAGTCTGACTCGAGTCCAAGTCACGACTTACAAATCCTCACCTCACTGTCAGTACAATGAAAAGTCCAGTTTCTTTGGAACATTACTCAAGTGAATGTGACTGAACTCCCTTTCCGTTAAAATAGTTAAGCGCTTTGTGTTGCATTTTTTGTATGAAAAGGCTCTGTAAATAAAGTTTCATTGATTGATTGATTGTTTGACAGACAATTGATTGCTAAAAAGGGGAACTGTGTAACTTTTCTGTGTAAACAATAGTACTTGACCCCTTCATTATACTGGAAAAAAACAATATCTAGATAAGTTAAAATGACTTAAATTAAAAACATTTAACTTTTTTTGAGTTGATTCAACTTGACAAGTAAAATTATCTGCCAATGGAATGAGTGTGTTTTTCTAAATTTAAGCAACAGTCGATTTTGTTTCTTATTTTAAGTGTCAAGAGTTGTTGTTTTGTCGCGAGATGTATTTTTATATTTTAAGTACAAAAAGTCTTATTCCACTGGCAGATAATTTTACTTGTCAAGCGAAATGTATTCAAATCGTGATGAAGTTTTGTTAGTTCAAGTCATCGTAACTTGACTAGATTTTGTTTTCTGCAGTGGAGTTTCATATTACCAACACACTCTCTGTAGCCACAGCTGCCCCGGGGTAGACGGACGGAACCAAGGCTGCCAAGCTGTGCCACCACCGAACAACACCCACACAAAGAGAAGGTAAGTAAAGTGTTTTGCCCAAGGACACGACGATACTGGTCAGAGCGACGTTTGAACTGTCAACGTGTAGGTTAGACGAATGCGTGTCGTGACCGCTGAGCCGCTACTGCCTCAGATAAACAACCTCCCGATCAAACCATTCAAAGATCTATTTCACGGATCTATACCTGTTTTTAATCACTCCTAAAAACGCACTTTTTTTCACTTGCTTTTAACAAGTGAATGTTCATTTCTTGTTGTTAATTAACTTGATTATCTTATTGTTGTGTGTGTTTTTTAGTAGTTTTATTGTGACTTTGACTGCGATTGTCCTTGTCTATTCTATGTTTGTGGACAGCACTTTGGCCAGCTGTAAAGTTTTAAAGTGCTTTATTAATAAATTTGGGATGGTATGTACGCACGAGTCCGCTTGCTGTAACAGTATTGCCCCATGAAAATCAAATATAAGACATAAGAAACCCACGTAATCGACATAAACATAAAGAAATGAACATGTCTACAGCCTGATTAGAATGGTTTGGTTAGTTTGTTTACCATTTGTTGTTTAAAAAAGGTATTGAAAAAACATTAAAGTGCTTAAAGTGCTTTAGTGAAGCTCAGAGAAGTGATCAAATTAGAGCCGTATCTGTTTTTGTTTCACCGAAAAGTCTCTGCAAACATATTCGGTTATGCACGTGATTCTTACGAAAACATTACAATTTTAGTCTTCAGTCAAAAGCTACTGTACACTCAATAATACAAAAAAGAAAATAAAAGCAAGCAGATTGTTTTTTTGCCAAAGTTTTTCAGCCTTAAACAAACTAAAGGGCACATTGGGGCCTCGCACGCAGGTATTGAACTGTGTTGATTTGGATCTAACTAGGCTAAGTGCCCCATTTAGAGCTGTTAAATTAGGGCAGCCTTTCAGTATACCACTATTTTCAATTCACTACAGGCCTGCTCGGAATGGGACAACTCGAGCAGACCCGTTTCAAGGTATTTGGGGGGTAGGGGCAAAGGGGTACCTGCGGCGAAGACCCTATGGGCACCTACCAAATAACATTAACACAATACCAAATGTTTACAGTGTAGACACATGTACAAATAACTTCAAAAGGCAATCAAATAAACGATTATGACTGAACCTCTAGCTCTGTTCTAGTGTTTCTCAAAATGTGCTTGTTTTGCGTTCCTTTGCGGCCTCTAGTACGTACGAGACACTACGATGAAAGCTATGCCACCCTCGCTGAAACTAACGCATGAAGTAGAACCCTGCATAATACGACCAAGTCAAAATGATCGACCTACTACAAAGCCAAGCAAACTGCACTGAAACACTCTGCGCCTCTTTTTTGGACCCTCACCCACAGTTTGAGAACCCCTTCTGTAAGAGAACTTCTACTGGTACTTTACACAAAACTGAGAAGCAAGAAGAATCCATGTAGAATTTTTAAACCTGTTTTTTCAAGTTCCTAACTGGAGTTACATTCTCTTACTGGTTTTACAGTGGGATTTACCAGCCTCTGCACGTTTATCAAACCAAACGCACATCGTAAAAAATACAGACGCATTTGTGCACTTTTATTAGGCAAACTTCAGCCACATGTCGCAGTAGTTCTGCTCTGCGCTGTAGCCATCCTCTGTGCCAACACTGTAACATACTTCTAGATGAATTAGTGCTTCGCGTTTCGTCTTCTGCTGCTCTTCTAATCAGCGCATCGGGGAAAGGGCCTGTGCGCTTTACACGGGGAGGAGCAAAAGTGTGAGAGGGCGAGAAGCGGCGCGCTGACGTGAGGCAGGTGGACAGGTAAGAAGTTTTAAAAAGTTTAACCTGCCCTGTGATACACGCTGGTACACGAGGGCATACACTGTTGCGAACAAGGCGCGCGCAGGGAGCGTGTGTTTGTGATGTGTCGCACAGTATCTGCAGGCTGCACGGAGGCCCCCGCGCACTCCCGTTTTATTACAACAAAGACCGTAATATTATCACACTCGCCGATTGTCAGACCTCAAAGATGAGACAAGACCGAGTCCAAACGCGATCGAGCCCGAGACGAGTACTACGACACTACGATCTGTACCCACACTACGATCTGTACCCACACTACGATCTGTACCCATCTACCTCGGCGATCGACGTATTGGGCACATATTAGAATTTGTAGCCAGTTCGTGCAAAGTTACTTACCGGTGTCTTGTTTTTTTCTTATCCTCCTCTTTCTCTTCGGCTCCTAGAGAGTATCATTTCGCTTCATTTTGAACTGATGGCTGCTCAAACATTTACTTGACTAGGCCGCCCGCGGGCCGCTGCCAAACTACGCGGGGACTTGCACATTCGGTCATAGCTTTTAAGGAGGCGCTTTAAGGTGGCACCGCCGCGCTCACAAAATGGTCATTGCTGTTATTTGAACACAAAACCAGTCGTTATCAGGGGCCCCCCAAGCGCTGGGGGCCCTAGGCAATTGCCCGGTTTGTCCACGGGTCTAGGGACGAGACAATTTCCACAAGACGAGACGAGATACGAGATTGGGTCCACGAGAACGAGACAAGACGAGATTTCTAATATGTAAACTTCGCGATTCAGTTTCAAATTTTGGTCTCACGATTTTATTTTTTGTATTTATTTGATTTCATAGTTTTGTTTCCATTCTAGTGCTGCTTTTTGGAACTGTAAGAGATGTAACTCACCAACCTGTACCTCTTTTTTTTTTTGTCTTATCCTAATGTAAACACTTGGGAAAAAAATCTCTCAATATAATTTTTCTCATGTGTGCACGATCTTGTGGCAATTTTGTCACATGAAATCTGCACGTCTTTTAACAGGGAGCAAAAAGCGTGATCACATTACCCCAATTCTTGTGTGTTTGCACTGGGTTCCTGTTAATTATAGAACTGATTTTAAGATTTTATTATTTGTTTTTAAAGCTTTGAATGGACTGACCCCACAGTACTTCTCGGACCTCATCCAAATTTAAACCTCCGCACGTGCTCTGAGGTCCGAGGGACAGCTCCAGCTCGTGGTCCCCAAAACAAGACTTAAAACCAGGGGGGTCAGGACCTTTTATGTGTCCGGCCCCAAACTCTGGAACGCTCTGCCCCTCCACGTCTGAACAACCCCCACAGGGAAGAGTTTTATGCCGGGCGTACACTGTGCGGTATTTTCGGTCGTGTCACTCAGCCCCAGCTTAAACTGTACGACCAAATCACAGGGTTTAAAAGTTCACAGCTCACGAATCATGTTCTCACACTGAACGAACCGATGCTCAGATGCGACTTGCCTGCTCACACTGTACGTTCACATAACGACCGGAGTTGTCAAAGTTGTTCCGGAAGTAGAAAACTACGAAGAAGAAAACCACGGAATTAGAAAACCACAGATGTGTGGAGACACAATGCTGAGCCACTTCTGTGTCCGCGCATGCTCAGTCTGCCAGATTCCGGCAAATCGGCTCGTGGAACAACTTCAACAGAGCTAAATCCTCACGAGAGGCGACTGGATTTCAAACAAGTTTGATTTTCTTGCGACCTACGAATGTCGATCGGGAGCTGGTCGTGAGCCATTAATCGGTTCTCTTTACCCCATGTAAACTACACGAAGCACGACACACGATGAAGCCAAAACTCGGCCCGATCCCCAAAACAGTCGCACGAGCGAAAAATCGGCTCAAAAAGGGTCAAAAATCGCACAGTGTATGCCCGGCCTTAGGTTCGTTTTAAAACCCACTTTTATTCTCTAATACCACGTGAGTTGTGTGGTCCTCTGTGTCTTTTATTTTATTTATTTATTTATTGTTTTTATCAATTTTATTTTTTAGTGCTGCTTTTACGTATTGATTTTATTATTTTTTGTTCATTGATTTTATTATTGTTATTTTATTTATTTTTCTATTTGTGTCTTTATTTATAATTCTGCAGATTTTTTTATTTTTTTTTTTTTAAGTAAAATGTTGCATTGCTATGTAAAGCACTTTGGAAAGTGTTTTGTTTGTAAAATGTGCTATACAAATAATTTTGGATTGGATTGTCCCATCCCTAAGGTTTACTATATTTGATTTCAACTGAGGTGGGTAAAGAGGAACCAAAAATTTTACGACAGACAAAACATGAACTAACATTTGGGTATTTCACAACAATTAGAAAAACAAAATTATACCTAAAGTTAGGAGTAAGAAATGCAAAAATATTCCCAGTAAGTGGTGGAATATAATGAAATAAATGTAGTGAAGTATAAATTTATATATCTGTACTTTACTTAAGTACACTTGAAAGTTTATTAGATCTCAAAGTCTGAGCAAAATACTTTTACTTTTTACTCTTTAAGTACTTTTCTAAATGAGTACTTTAATACATGTACTTAAGAAGATATTTCATGTGATACTTTTACTTTTATGTGAGTATTTCTTGCTCGAGTATCTGTGCTTTTACAAACAAAATTTAGTGCTTCTTCTACCACTGCTCCCAATCAGTATAAACTATAGAAGTATTGCTCAAGTATAAGTAAAAGTATGATATAAAACTATTATAAAAAGTACAATATCTTTTAATTTTGTTTTGTTTTACTGTACATAAACATACAGTATAACTATCTAGAACGTAAATTAATGTAACTAGTTATAATGAGCCATCTTCCACAAATTCTGATGGAGCTGTCGTAGCAGAGGCCTGTCCCGTGAGCTGAAGCGTCCCAGATTCGGTGCTCTGCTGTGGGCTAACCTGAGCGAGTATCCTGGGCCCCGGCAGCTCTGTGGAGAGAGGCAGCGACTCACAGATCAGTCACACTTTAACCTGTGCCGCTCCAAATACTGTGCTTAAACTACACAGGCTTATTTAAACCTTGACTACCGCATGTAAAACACCCACACAAGTGCAAACACGGGCGACTGGAATACAAAATAAAACCTTAAATAGTTCTTCCTAATGCAATAAGGTTAGTTAAAGTGGGACTGAACGCATAAAAAGGACATTTAAAATAAAGCTGTTAAACTGGGCAGTACCTGGAAGGACTAAAGGGGAAAGTGAGATATAAGGAACAGTGTGATTGTTCTAACAAGTATCTACACTTCAAACACCGCACCTACAGTCAGCTGTTTAGCGAGAAACCACAGAACTGTTATAAAATCTAGAAGTGAACCCAAGGTGGCGTTGTATTGTTTTCAGTGGCCTGTGCTCATCGGCGCATGGGCCCAAAAATGTAAAGATCGCTTTTAGGCGCTTTGAGGATTTGAAGAAAGTAAAAAAATAAAAATAAAAGTTTGTGAAAATAGAAAAGAATCCCTACAAAGTCCAGCCTTTCTCAAAGTTGTGGATGCCCTGTCAGCTGAACACGAGCAGTTTGAATTCGCCCAAAAAAAGCACTGTGCTCTATGGGAGAATTCTTTCTGCAGTACCTGGAGCGGCCACTAGTCAATCTTGAGCCGGGACAGAGGGGGGATACTTTATCCAGTTTTTATTATAGATCCATGTAAGAAACCTGCAGTCTTGTGTGATGTCATTAACTACGTGAAATCAAAGAGGCCACTGCAGGCAGCACAAACTTAGATTTAGGTGTTTGTTTTTTTTTCATATATGGACTAAAGCTGCATTGCTTTTAATTAAGAGGTGTTTTTATTAACTGACACCCCTGGTCTATAGTCTGGGGCAGTGGGTAAACAGGAATATCTATGCATTTATTATAATTTCATGTGAACTGTAGACTTTTATAGACTTTTTAAAATGTATTTGATTTATTTATTTTAATTGTTATTATTTTATTTATTATTTTATTATTTGTTTATCTATTTATTTATTTATTTAAGACAGGGTGTCAAACATACGGCCCGGGGGCCAGATCCGGCCCTTCAAGATCTTTAATCTGGCGCTCGGCTGATTTTCTACTAAAATATTTTAATTATATTTTCTATTAAATTATTGGTAATTTTCTGTCGGTGTTTATCACAGCAGCGTCTCCAGCGTCTCTGTACGTGGCCCCTCCCACCAGAGCAGCACAAATGAAGACTTGTCTCTTTCCAAACGCTCTTAAAGGACGATCATTTTGACTGTTGACCGTGACACCCTCATCAGAAAAATGACAAAAATGAGAAAAGTGGAGCCGAGTGCAGAATTTTCCAAGAAAAATTTACTTATTCCTAATTGCATACAAGTTAATGTTAAAACATTGTGTTGAAATTGCATTTTTCTTAAAGTTTCAAGTTGTAAAAGAAAGAGTTCATCAATTTAAAAAAAATAAAAATCTGTAATAGATTTGTGTTTCTCTGCACAAATATTTGAACTTATTGTCATTTTTGGGGTTTATATGCCATGAGTTTTCTGATCCGGCCCCTTCGGGATCAAAGTAGGTTGGATACGGCCCCGGACCAAAATGAGTTTGACACCCCTCGTTTAAGACAAGATTTTATTTTTAGTTATTTTATTTTTGTGCGTGTTCTTTTATTTTGAAAAAGGAAACCGTCCGTCCTTATTCCGGTCCCTCCCTGCCTGCACCACGTGACCTCTCCTTAGCTACCGCAGAGCGTCGCTGTTGCTACGGGCCAGAGCCGCGGGAGGATGAAGTCTGCGGAGCCCGGGACTCTCCGCTCTTTTCTCCCCCGTTTTTACGCCCTCACGTAAAACCTAAAGCGCGGGTTACGATGGCGTCCACCCGAAAACTTTGCCCGTTCACCCCGGAATCTCCCCTTGCACCTTTCCCTCCGTGCTAAAGCGTGTTTTTAACTCGGCATGGTAAAGATTAGTTAGCATGCTAGCGAGATAGCGTCAAGATTTCCGCAGCTCATCGACCACGCCTGCTCGTGACAGGTTTGTGATGGCACTTTTAATAACTTTTACGCCCCGCTGCACCGTTGTTGATGATTATTTGATGAAGTTGTATTGTTTTTGTTGCGTAACGTCAGTGGAGTTGCTCAACAGGTGTTCCCGTAGCCTAATTCCCTGTGGCAGTAATGATGCGCCTCTAATAGGATTGAACCTTCTCCATCCTGCCCCGAGCTGGAGTAGTAGCCAAGAAAACCAAGGATAACCTCACTCTTAAACCGACTCATAGAAGAAAAAAAAAAAAAAAGGAAAACTGGATCTGTTTGTTTTGTAATAAGTTAGAGCCAAGTTGTTTGTTTGTAGTTTGTGATTCTTGTAAATTAAAGTGACCAGATTTTCAAAACCTAAAACTGGGACATTCCCTGTTTGTGGTGGCTGGTAATAATAAGATGGTGTAATTAAGAAAAACAAGCCCATTCTTGACTTATTCACGACTAACATGGGAGTCAGTATAGTCACATTTTCTTTATAAGATAGAATAGAAATAGAATAGAAAGCCTTTATTGTCATTATGCAGTTTAATGAAATTCAGAGCGGCGCCGTCAAAGTGCAAGAAAACAAACAAACAAATTAACAGGTCTCAGTGTAAGAATGAGTTCAGTATGGTGACAGATTTGGGGAAGAGGCTGTTCCTGAGTCTGTTTGTCTTGGCTGGAATGGACCTGAAGCGCCTGCCAGAAGGTATCAGGTTGAAGAGGTTTGTTTATGTTTTGAACCAAAAGAAACAGAAAACACACACCAGAATTCTTGTAGAGGTGCAAATGCAAGGAGCAGCAAGACAAAAGTGAGAAAATGCATAGCACATTTGGATGGCCAATAGTTTTTTTATTTTTAAAATAAGATTATGGCAAAAAAACAAAACAAAAAAATGGTGTGCTGTGATCCAAAACAAAAATCTGATGAAGGCTTTTTTATTTATTTATTTTTTCGAAATCTTATTTTAAAAATTAAAAAAGCTTTTGGACATCGGCCGTCTGAGTGTGCTATGCATTTTTTCATTTATGCTTATGTTTTGGTCACTTTTAAGCAGCGTTTCTGTATTTTATTTAACAAGTGACAATTTATGCTTCTCTTTACTGTTGGCAGGTAACAAACTGGTCAAAAATAGGGACACTTGTGATATTTTTTGTATATAACTGGGACAAATCACAGGTTTTGGATAAATCTGCTGGGGCAGGGGATAAATATATATAATTTTAATATTAATGTTAGTTGTAGGGCTGCAGCTAATGATGATTTTAGTAATTGACTAGTCAGATCTTTTTTTTTTTTTTTTTTCACATTTTTAACCAAATAAAAGTTGAACTGTGGAGACTGAAGGCTTCTAAATAGAGAAAATGTACAAATAAAGTGTTTTATGTTTGAAAATCAGAAATTATTTAATCTTTTAATACATTTTGTTTAAATAATGCTGCTTGTTTTGATATATTAAAAAAAAAGCTTTCTATGCGCTTTAGAGTGTAGTTCAGATAAACGTGATTAAAATACAATTATGATATGTATTTTTTCCATTGCAGAGGTGGGTGATTAACAGAAATGAATATCTCAAGATTTATTTAGTTTTTTGCATGATTTTGATCACAGTGGATATTTGACAGTGGATCAGAAATGTGCTAAAAAGCTGCTGTAAATGTCTTGATTAAGGTTTAAGCATCGCACATAATGTGAATGGAGCATGACATAACCCATAATTCCATATTTCTCCCACAGCTCTAATTAGTATAAAGCAGTGCTGCATAGGAAGGGTTCGGAGATTGTATAAAATCGTTAAAATCACATCCATAAAAGCTACTAAACAGAAACTGGAACTTGTCTGAAAATAATGACATAAATATGTGCGGCGTTAGTGCACTAATTACAATAGAGCCTTGGATTATGTCGTCTAATCTCAGAGAATTTTGAGCCTGATGTTAAACCAGCGGAGATTTTAAAATGCTGAATACTAAACTAAAAGTGTTTATTCAGGTAGAGACAGGGTTGTTCCGTGGCTCTTTCTTCTTATTTATTTATTTATTTATTTTTTACAGTATTTTTGCAAATTTCTCTGTTAGTGTTGTCATGATACTAAAATTTCCATACTAAAGAATAGACTCGGCACTTAATACTGATTCCAAAAACATGATGATACTAAAAAACACTCTTTATTTAGATAAGATAATGTGATTTTCAACATTAAATTGTCTTTTTTATTCCCATATACTAATCTATGTGCTCTTGTACTCGTTCTGATACAGCTCAAGATCATTCTAAAGCTTCAGGAAAGGTTCACTTCTGTCCTGACTTTTTTAGTATTGATCCATCCTCAAAGAGTATCCAGATTCGATACCAGTTTTAGTATCAATTAGTATCTCATTTTCAGTACTAATTTCTATGGATGTTTTGCATGTCTGGCCAGAATTTCTGATGTTCGATCCTGTTAAACATGGTTACTGAATCTCTCTATAGGCTCCTAAAGAGGACATGGGGAAACTCCAGAGCAAGTTCCGCAAGAGGTCGACTCTCTACAGGTAAATTATTTCTTTTTTTTTTTTTTTTTCCAATTATTAAAATACTACTAACATGGTTTCCTGATCAGAACACATTCACAACATTGCAGGATTCCTATAGTTTAAATCAGGGGGTCACCAAACTTTTTTTTATCTTGGGGAAACATTATCGCTCCTGACGGCGATGAGGGCCGGGGTCTGGTCGGCAGTATAACAGAATTGTACGACCCTGACGACGCAGATTATACACTTTGAAAACCGCCACACTTTCTTTACATATCAGACAAACTGCACGGTCCTTATAGTGAACAAAAAAATAATCTGTCATCCACTGTTCTTTGAAAACTCGGCGCTCTGTCAACTTTTTATACTTTAACACGAATCATTTTGCTGTCCTTAACTGCACTACAGAACAGTGCGAGTTCATTGACTGTGGAGGTGTGCAAAAAATATCAAAATATCAATATATTGTATCATTTAATGTGATGATACAGTATCGATATCATGGGCTGCTGTATCGATATATCGCCAAGAGTATATTTTTGGTGTATTTTACTTAATTATTTGGATGCAGCCTGTTTTGTTGCTTGTTCAGAGGAAGGAAACTCGTTTATGCGACACATTTTATCATTTTCACTGTTTTGATGATTAAAATGGGCATGTTTCGTATAAACTTCGCACAAGAAGTGGTTTAACAAAGACTTTTAGAATCACAGCCATGATTTATCCTTTATTTTTTATTGAACTGTATCAAATCAATTTGAACTTTATCATATCGAATCGAAAGTGCACTGTATTGGCCCTAGTTGACTGTCAGTGTTTGATCTCGAACTTGTCAGGTGAAGAAAATTCAGCGGCAAATGTAAATACATCATATAATTATTTAAATATAAATACTTAAATATATTTTTTTTATTGAAAAAAAAAATCAACAAAATACAAGATGCAGACATGTTATTATCTGACAACTTTGTTATATGGCAACTTTTGAGGATTATCTCATAGGGCCAGTTCAAGTAGTGGAGGGCAGAGGGGCTGGGGGCCAGTCAAAGGGCATGGAGGGCCGTCGTCAGCCCGCGGGCCTTACTTTAAACTGAGCTGGAGATGGGTCAGAACTCTCAGCTGAACTTTGCTTTGGAGCTGTCAGATTGCAGATTTGTTGACCTGGTTTATGGTTCATATCTCTGTAAAACTGGGCCTATCCACATGAAACAAAAACTGACACAAGTTCAGCGTCTTCTCTGTCAGTGTGCGTAAACAAAAGTGAAATATTTCTTCATAACAGTTTCAGAAAGTGACGTGATTGTCTTTGAGGTTAAATAATGATAACATGAATGAACAAGTTTTTGGAACCAACCCCAAACACGTAATGATAAGGCTCAACGGTTATGGATTGGGAGTTTTGATATTTCTTCCAAACAGTGAGTCTCCTGTAGAGTTACATAGGCCCCTGCCCTCCGTCTGAAATCACGCAGTCCAATTCTAGAACGTGAACTCAGTCTATTGTTCAGATGATGTGGGCTGGTAAACATGTTCAGTGTCACCCGAGGGGTGCTGGGATAATTAGGACTCCCTGTGTTCTACACCGGAGGCCAGTGTGTGGTCAAGTGTAGTTTGATGTTTCAGTATTTCGGTGTGAAGACTGTAAACTCAAACATTCACTAACACACAGGAGAAAACATGTGCATGGTTTATTAACTTGTATGTTGTTGTTGTATTACTGATTATGGCTTGATGAGTTAGTATTCAGTGTTTCCCATAGATCTGCATTTAATTTAATTTAATTTAATTTATTTTTATTTTATTTTTTAATTTTTTTTATTAGATTTATTTTTTATTTTTTTTTTATAAATTTTTTATTATTTTTAAAATTTTTATTATTATTATTTTATTTATTTATTTATTTTTTATCTTTAAGCACCTTTTTTATTTTATTTTATAAATTTACATGAATACAAAGAGCAGCAAAGTCTAATTTTGTTATGCCAATTTTGTCCAGGTTGTTTTTAGGTTATGGGGGAGAGTTTTAGATAATGACGGGCCACCACTTAATGGGAAACACTGATGTTTTATAGTGTGATCTGAAAGTGTTTAGGGGGTGGTCTGCCTCAGAATTATTTTAAACACCTAAAAGTGTGCTGTAACTCCAACAAAGACCAAGACTGCTAGTTTATCAGTTGATATTTTAGTGTTCTTGTCAAATGTTATAACCCCTAAAGAATTTATGTCAGATGCACTACTTGTCATAAAAATCTGATTTATAAATGTTTCCTTAATCTCGTGCCCTTCTGTTCTGCTCTGTTCTGTTGTGTTGTGCTCAGGTCGTCCGAGGGTCAGAAGGACGACAGTGCCTTGGACAGTCAGGTGCTTCAGTATGAACCTGCTCATCAGGGCTCCATCAACTCTGTGGTGAGCCTGAGCCCGGAGGCGTGTGTGTCCGGAGGAAGTGACCAGGTCAGTGCGTCGGCTCTGTGGACGTCTATACTCACTCATAACAACCAGTAGATCCGTGATATTAACCATAATAATAAAATAATAAAAATACCTCGGACTTGTATAGTGCTATTTTGGACACTCAAAGACGCTTTACAAACAAATAAAAAGTGACACTGTAGAAAATGGGGGAATCCTGGAGGGAATGCCAGATTGAACAGGTGAGTTTTTAGACGTGATTTGAAATGCTGCAGTGAGTCCGAGTTCCAGAGGAGGCAGTGAAGCGAAGGCTCGGTCCCCTAAGGTCCAGTGCTTTGTCCTAATGAGGGGCGTGAGGAGGTTGTGTCGGCTGAGCTGAGGCGGCGGGTGGGACAGTGCAGACAGAGAAGGGAGGAGCCAGGTTATGGAGGGACTTGTAGGTGATGAGGACCTTGTATTCGATGCGGTATTGTACCAGGAGGAGACTTCACCATGACCGTATGTTGAGGCTGGACCTTTGTTGTTCAATGGAGCTCAACAGTGACTGCCCACTCTGACTTGCGAAGTAAATTTCCCATAGAACTAAAAAACCTGCTGAGTTATTATAACGCTTTGACAAATTTTAAGTTTAAAATGAGTTCTTTTTAGACTAGACACTCCCATGTGTGTATGGACCTAAGTTAATACATGGCTGGTTCGCCTTCATTGTACTTTTTAAACTAGAGCTAGAATAGTCTATGGGAAAAATGAATGGGAAAATTACTTCTGAACCTTGGGTCGAATTTGACTGTTGTGTTTTTGTCAATAAGTGGTTCAGTGCAGGATTCATCGGTCTGCTGATACTTTTGCTACTCTACTCTACTTTCCTCTCCTTTTTTTCTGCGTCTTCTTCTTTTCTTTACACAATATCGAGTCTGAGAACTTTTTTTTTTTATTTCTGATTTTGTCCTGGTACCTTTTATGCAAAGTAAAATGCAATCTCACCGTGCTCTGTGTCCAGGCTGTGGTGGTGTACGACTGGACCCAGGGCCGCATGTGTCAGTCCCTCCAGGGCCACACTCGGGAGGTCACCAAGGTAACGCTTCAGAAAATCATAATGTTTATTCTGTGACATGTCTGTTCTCCTCCTCGCACTTAAGGCCCCGTCCACACTAGTTCGTATTCGAGTTGTTTTCGTTGTGGATGCAGTGTTCGTCCACACTAATCCGATTGAAAACGACTCCAGAGACAGAACGATCTGATGCCTCCAGCTCCCACGAATTCATTTGAGTACGAATCTGATGCGGCACTGTGTGGACGCCTGAAAACACTGATAAACTGATAAACTGATGTAGGTCTATGCGCCGTGAAGTAATTCACCACCAAAACGCTAAGAGGCTGGAATATATCTATGATCATCTATGTTACGACCTGCAGACGTATAATCTCTGAAAAAAAACATGAACCATCTCCAAAGCAATAGAAGCACAGAACAGACTCACCATCAGCAGAACACCCCTCTGTCACAGAAAGAACACTCATATACCACTGAGTTGTGTCCTTTAATCCGACAGACGCTTAACCGCATCAGCGCACAAGAGCGAGCTGTTTTTTGAGCGCTTAGTTTATGCAAATTAGCCATGCGGTTTTAAGTTTAGTTTCTGTAAAATGTAAACAAATATGCTGAGAGCTATGTGGATATGGAAAGCTTGCGGACACAGAAACGACATGTCTAGACGCAAATCGTTTCCGATACGGTGATTCGTTTCAGTGTAAACGTTACCTCAAACTCCTTCCATACCAAGTTTTTCCTGATGATGATGTCTGTGGTCCCCTGTGCAGTGAGACAGAGCTCCCCTGCTGCTCTGTGTTGATGCTGACTCTGCTGTGTGTCGTCAGGTGCTGTGTTACCCTGGCACCACGTGGATCTTCAGTGCTTCTCGGGATAAGACGGTTTTCATGTGGGACCTGAACCAGGGATATGAGCCCATCCAGGAGTTCTGTGGACATGAGCTGGTGGTCAACGGCATCGCTGTCAGCCCTGGTACATTACTATGTACTTTTACTTTAGCTTTTATGCATGGGATTCAAGCTACGCCAACTGTCGTACGTGGTCAGTTTTATAGCTTTTGAATGGGGAAAGGTCCTCACTGGTTCCTCCAAAAGTCCTTCAAATCAAGAAGAAAATGTTTGTCTAAAAACCATAAAACTCTACTGATGTGACAGTGTCCAAATACACAGATGACTCTCTGTTCAGCAGCTGCAAATGATATTGGACACTTAGAATTTTTCTGAAAAATAACATATTCGGTTTGGGATGAAACACAATTCCACAAATACCGACGTTCAAGCTTTAATCCCCATGACCTTTTTTCAGCATTCCACTGCAACAAAACAATACGTTATTTATACACACTGTTTTTAAAGACTTAATATCACAATCTCCTTCGAACGCCAATTTGCCGTTACTGTTCCATCCCTGTCGACCCTCCTCCTGACCTGTGTGTGTGTGTGTGTTTGTGTTTTTCTCAGATGGGAGGAAACTGTGCAGTGGTTCCCGTGACAACTGGATGTGTTTGTGGGACATCGAATCTGCCAAATGTGAACAGCGCCACAACATCTCCAGAAACCTGGTGAGACCAAGACGTCATGTTTCACGCAGTCTGAAGGAGAAGAGATATGTGAGTGTAACAGGTTAAATGTGTCGTAGGTGACTCACGTGTGCTGGGTGCCCGGCAGCTCCACTATAGCCCAGACCTCTGAGGACAAGACCATCAGGTAAGTTTAATATTTATTAGAATTAAAAATAAAACTCAAAAACTCCAAAAAACTTAGCAGACACAATATGCTTTCTTTCCTCAAGTAATTAGTATCAAAATATATCATACATAATGAATGAATGAATGATTGTTTAGACAGTAATGCATAGAAAACGTAAATACCTAGATATAACACAAAAAGTCAATATTTCTTTTCTAATAATAAACAAAAATAAATGTCACACAGATCACACATAGCTCATTATTATGCATTCGGGCTGTGTATTGCCAAGTACTTCATAATGATAAAATATGTATCCCGACACAAGCATATCCCTAAAAATGACTCTAAAACTGCACTAGATTTGTGTTTTTATTATGCAGAGAAGCAAAATCCATTGGAACGTCATGTTCACAGTGTCCTTATTGTCAAAACATGAGTAAGTCACTTTTTTGGCTGTGCAGATTGAGCTGTAATGTAGTATTAACAGCATTACTATTATTTACTATTGTATTATTGTTACTATTACTATTGTTAAGTGTCACAGTGCAGCGCCTCATTAAATACACGCATCTGTAACCATATTTTGAGTCCAGCCTATTTAAACAGCGTATTAAAGGGGCAGTTCAGAATTTTGGACATAGGGCCTCGTTTCCTCGTGAGCCAGAGTGTCGGAGACGTGTGGAGACACTTTTTTAAATATTCCATCCAGTCCTTGTATTTGCAGAGGTCGCTGGTGCTAGACTAGTGCATGTCAATGGTCATAGTTTATCCTGCCACTAAAAACAGTCTTACCCACTCCACAAAACACCTAAAACAAATCTATCTATCTATAAACATCTACACCAGACTGTCCATCTAAATGTCTGTGTTGAAAGAATAATTTTAGAAGTAAAACCAACCTTGCATCTGAAGGATTTATGTCTGAGCAGCAGCAGCGAGTTGTACATTGTGACAAGCAACAGATTGTACTTGGATCTTGAGTCTGAATTAGGAGTCTGCGCAGGACAAAATTTTCAGTCCCGCTCCCGCCCGCATCTGCGATATCTGCGGCAGTAGTTCAGTTGGTAGAGCATTCGCCCTCTGATCTGAAGGTTGGTGGTTCGATTCCAGCTCTCGACATAAACATCACAGGTTGAGTGGTCAGTGGTGGTGTGATTCCAGCTCCCACAGATGAATGCTGTCGTTGTGTCTTTGGGCAAGACACTTAACCCACCTTGCCCACAGTGTCTGCGTACACTGGTGTGTGAATGTGTGTGTGGTTCCTTGTTGTTAAGCACTTTGAGTGCCTTGAAGGTGGAAAAGCACTATAGAAAAATGTGACCGTTTACCATTTTGTCCCGCTCCCACCCGCAAATCCTGCAAGATGGGGACGATCATTTTCTTAAACTCTACCAAACACGGAGAAGCAAAAAGGAATTGTCTACAACAGTGGTCTCCAACCTTTTTTGCGGCACGGACCGGTTTATATCAGACAATATTTCGTGGACCGGAGGGAGTTGAGGGGGGGTAGTCTGGCGGCATGGTTAAGTCCTGGCTAAATCCTGTTTTAGTCCTGTTTTAGTCCTGTTTTAGTCCTGTTTTAGTCCTGTTTTAGTCTGTTTTAGTCCTGTTTTAGTCCTGTTTTAGTCCTGTTTTAGACCAGTTTTAGACCAGTTTTAGACCAGATTTTAGACCAGTTTTAGACCAGTTTTAGTTCTGGTTTAGTGGTGCGGCCTGAGCTACGTACGGGAAGAGACACTGTCTGTGCACCATATGTATTCGTTTGCAGGACTGCAGTTTATCATCCCACTCGCCCACTCCCGCATGTTGTAGTCCCGCTCCCGCCCGCGTCCACAGTGAGTTTTTAAAATGTGTCCCGGGCCGCACTGTTTTTGCGTCGGGTCCCGAGAATAATCAAATAATAATTAGAGGTTTGTGGGCGGGGGATAGGGTTTGGGTTTGGTGAATACGGACACTTTCAGAGCACTGGATTACTCAACCATACATGAATGAATCAAAAGTGAATGTAATGTAGTGAGGGAACACATAATACCTCCCCTTTTAATGTAGACATCGCTGTGATCTGTGTGTGAACGTGAACTTTAATGCCGCTGTGGTCTTAGGTCGGTCCAGGTCTCGGATGGTGGTGACCTGACCTCAGATCTGCTCAGGAGTTCACACTGGGACAATTATAACACAATGGATTATCTGTTCAAAGGAAATCATATTAATAAGGCTGCGGGCTGCGGGCCTTCTCCTGCACTTAGCCCCACTCTGCAGAAAGAACGAAGAAAGAAGGATCAGTAAATGAAATATGAAATACATGAAATATCCCCAAACCTTTAACCTTTTTTACTGGATCCAGATGCCCCAGAATATCTGTGTATGGATGTGGTTTAGACCTGGTTTAGTTCTGGTTTTAATCTTGGTTCAGTCCTGGTTCAGTCCTGGTTCAGTCCTGGTTCAGTCCTGGTTCAGTCCTGGTTCAGTCCTGGTTTAGTCCTGGTTCAGTCCTGGTTCAGTCCTTAATTAGTGCTGGTTCAGTCCTGGTTCAGTCCTTAATTGGTTGTGGTTCAGTCCTGGTTCAGGCCTGATTCAGTCTTAGTTCAGTCCTGGTTTAGTCCCGATACAGTCCTGGTTCAGTCCTGGTTCAGTCCTGGTTCAGTGCTGGTTCAGTCCTTAATTAGTGCTGGTTCAGTCCTGGTTCAGTCCTTAGTTGGTCAGTGGTTCAGTCCTGGTTCAGTCCTGGTTCAGTCCTGGTTCAGTCCTGGTTCAGTCCTGGTTCAGTCCTTAATTGGTCCTGGTCACACAAAGAAATACACTTTAAGGGTTTGTTTGTAGCTTTCTGCAATAAGAAGAGCATCCAGCGCACATCTGCCCCTTTAATTGCTTTTTATGTGTTTGTTTTTTTTTGTGCAGGATCTGGGACAGGTGACCCAGTCCTGGTTCAGTCCTGGTTCAGTCTTTGGTTCAGTCCTGATTTAGTCCTGGTTCAGTCCTGGTTCAGTCCTGATTCAGTCTTAGTTCAGTCCTGGTTTAGTCCCGATTCAGTCCTGGTTCAGTCCTGGTTCAGTCTTAAGTGGTCCTGGTTCAGTCCTGGTTCAGTCCTGGTTCAGTCCTGGTTCAGTCCTGGTTCAGTCCTGGTTCAGTCCTGGTTCAGTCCTGGTTCAGTCCTTAACTGATCCTGGTCACACAAAGAAATACACTTTAAGGGTTTGTTTGTAGATAACTTTCTGCAGTAAGAAGAGCATCCAGCGCACATCTGCCCCTTTAATTGCTTTTTATGTTTTTTTTGTTTTTGTTTTTTTGTGCAGGATCTGGGACAGCCGGGCCTGGCAGGTGACCCACACGTTTCCGGCCAAACAGTACATCCAGACTCATTGTGACGTGTCTGCCAACGGCCACTACCTGGTGTCCAGCAGCAACGGCTTCGGGGGACAGGGCTGTGAGGCCACGGTCAGATCAAGACCTAAAACTACCCACATGCCACTAAGCTGTCCAAAAACCTGAGAGTTTAGACCAAACACTCGTTAGAAACTTTCTGCTTCTCAGGTCTTAGTGTTATAAGACAATGAATGGGATTTTAGTTTTATTTTAGCAGTTTTTTTGTTGTTTCTCTAACGTTAAAGATGTAACTTAGAAGTATAATGTAGGGAGGGTCTAACCAGATTCATTATTCCTAATTCAGTCCTAGTTCAGTCCTTAAGTAGTCCTGGTTTAGCCCTGGTTTAGTCCTGGTTTAGCCCTGGTTCAGTCCTGGTTCAGTCCTGATTTAGACCTGGTTCAGTCCTAGCTCAGTCCTGGTTTAGTCCTGGTTCAGTCCTGATTTAGTCCTGGTTTAGATCTGGTTTAGATCTGGTTTAGTCCTGGTTCAGTCCTGATTTAGTCCTGATTTAGTCCTGGTTCAGTCCTGGATTCAGTCCTGGATTCAGTCCTGGATTCATTAGTAGGTCTGAGTATCATTAAGAAGTTGCCAATACGATACATATCTCGATACAGTGAACTTTCGATTCGATAAAATATATTTCAAATTGATTCGATAAGGTTCAATAACAAATAAAGTCTAAATCATGTCTGTGATACTAAAAGTTTTTGTTAAACCACTTCTTGTGCAAAGTTCATATGAAACAAATATTTTAATCATCAAAACAGTGAAAATGTCAAATGTGTTGCATAAATGAGTTTCCTTCCACTAAACAAGCAACAAAACTGTAGCTGTAACAAAATAATTTAATAAAATAAACAAAAAAACAAAATACTCTTGGTGATATATCGATACAGCAGCCCACGATATCGATACTGTATGATCATATTAAACGACACGATATATCGATATTTTTATATTTTCGCACACCCCTATTCATCAGACTTTCACTTCGTAGAAACTGTCTGACCTTGCAGCATTAGGATTCGTTCGCTCGACGGTAGGCGGGTCCTTTTTTTATTTAACCAATCACTGCTGTTTGGTCGTGACGTATGTAATGCACCACTAACGAGGATAACGAAGGACAATAACGTCTTTCCCCTTGATAAAATTCACCAAACATTCTCTTTGTTCCGGCTTTAAATCCTCGATCTCAGGAATCGTTGACCACACAGAATATTTGGCTCTTCTCTGATTGGCTGGTGCCCGAACTCACACTTCCGGGGTTTTTGTGAACCGTCTAGTGTATTCTGATTCCTGACCTGATACTGCCTGATGTGATGTTTCTTTACCTGGAATGTTTCACAGTACGGCATTAAATTGATCTATCTAGAATTTTATTCAATAACAGATGTTTTTACTGCTAATTTTTTTTTCTTATGTTATTTATTTGTAAAAGGACAGCACATATGAATATAATGAACATTAAAAACGTAAATATGTAAAGATTATAGTCAGCGTGGCTAATTTCCATCTTCAGTCCCTCGGCAGGTTGATGTAAAATCATCTACAGAACAAAGAAAAGTACAGCAACAATCACACCAAAGTACATAACATCAGCACAGCCACTATACACACAATTAATTTCAAACAGTTCATTTGAAGTTCAAAACCAAGAGTTAAAATAAAAAATAGAAAGAGCCAACAGTGGGGCTTGTCTTCATGGAGAAAGATGAGTTTGAGGCCGCACTGTGAAATATTTCAGGCAAAACGATAACATCAAGAAGAGATTAAATTATTATTATTTTTTTTTACATAAATCTTATTGCATTTGCTGTGTGTATCAGATGTAGTAAAAATATTAGTTTGTTTGATATTTATTTGTTTATCTTACATATTTGTTAATGTTGTGCAGCTGTGGGACCTGCGTCAGCCCGGCTGTAAAGTGGTGGAGTACAGGGGCCACCTCCAGACCACCGCCTGCTGCGTGTTCCTCCCCTCCACCACCGGGGGGAGCTCTCTGGTGGCCACGTCCTCTCACGACAGCTCCGTCAAGATCTGGGACCAGAACACTGCAGGTACCAAACCAAATTCTTACTGCGAAAAACTCAGATTTGTTGTAGTTCAGAAATCGCACTGGTGTTTTTCAAGGTGCAGTCAGTAACTTTTCTGGTGGAGGGCTCCTGTTTGTGTACATTAAACTTATCTATCGCCATGGAGACAAGCAGGTGACTCCACTAAGCCAAGTTACAGGTCATATCTGCGGAGAGGCGACCCTATCTTGGGCATTTGCCTGTATAAATGTGGTGATTAGTTCTATATAAAAACATCCACCACCAAACACATGTATCAATATTCTACTAATAATATTTTTGTGTAACTTTATTTCAGTGCAGTTACTCATTTACTTACTTTGGCAGTGTTCAGAAGAGTTACTGTTATAAAATTTAAGGAATATATTGCAATCACACATTTGAGACTTTTAGAGTATTAGTAGGAAAAAAGAAAACTGCTAAAAAAAATGCACAAAAAATAACCCCCGTTGTTGTTGTTGTTGTTGTGCCCTCAGCCTGTCTGGGGACCCTCTCTCTGGACGGAGCGGGTCCTCTCGTGTCCCTGGCGCCCAGTGACCCAGTCAATCTGATCTGTGCCAGCTTCAACTCAGGTCTGCACCACCTCCAGCTGTGCCACGGCTCGCCCCAGGGCCAGAGCCAGCCCCATGCCCACGGGGGAGCGGGCTCCGGGGGCTCGGGGGGCTCGGGGGGAGTGGACATCAGAGTGGTCGCTCGGTTTTAACTCTTTGCGCCACGACATCCAACAGCACGGGACGAAGAGGTGGCAATAAAAGAGGCATCTGTGAAATTGTGCAAGAATCTACAAGTTTACCTGAAATAATCTTTTATTTCACTTTGAGAAGCTTTGACTTGTTGAGTAAAACTAATAGGTCTATATAAAACTAATACTAATACTGTATATAATATAGTGTTTCCCATTAACAGAGGAGACGATGGTGACTCTCCACAGTCTAATCAAGTGTTGGACTTTCAGATTTTAAAAGAAGACGAATAATATTTGGATAAAATGTTCTTTGTGGTAAAATCTACACCCTTACGAAAGTTTTGGAGGATTTTGGACATACTGTATTTTGCGCACTAGAGGGCGCTCTGGATTATAAGGCGCACTGTCATTGAATGGTCTATTTTTGAACTTTTTTCACAAATAAATCGCACCGGACTATAAGGCGCATTAAACGAAACACAACAGTTTGATAAGTCAGTCAAACTTTATTTAACGCGTTCACAATAACTCTCAACTTTTGTACAACAAATGTAATGCGTAAAAAAATTCTGTCTGAGACGCTAAATTGTTAAGTATTCACAATAACTCATAATAGTTCAAACAGTTGGGTGATTACAGCGTCCAGCTCGCCCACATCCCTCTCGTCATTATCCGAGTCAGTGTGGTTACTGTTCCCTGGCAGTTCAGTGATGATTCTGCTCGGACCACAGTTGATACTGATCCTTAGCCCGGGCGTCCACGATCCGTTGGCAGATCGTGGTGTAAGTCGCTCGGCGCTGTCTCTCTGTCTTGGTGAATGTGTGTTCTCCTTCTCTCATCCACTGCTCCCACACAGCTAAACGCACTTTCACTTTATAACAGCCTTGAGTTTAAAGTGGGGCTTGTGAGTGTGTCTCTTGACAGGTGCATTTTGATATTAAAAGGAATCACAGTCTGTATTACTCCTGATGCTCCTGAATACGGGAGCCGTAATGCTGCAAATGGTGCGGCTTTGTAGTTTACTAAAGTCGTACTAAGACACCCCAATAAATTCATATATAAGTTATATAAGTTATAAGAAATTAAAGGCTTTTAAGTGCGTCCTATAGTGCGGAAAATACGGCAAACCAATTTACTAGAGCTGTAATGATATCCAAGTCTCTGTATGAAACTCACGGTATCATATTTATTGCGATATCGTGGGAAAGCTCACAATATGTTAGTGAAGCTCACGATTAGGAATGTAACAATACCCAAATCTCTCGTACGATATTTTCACGATATACTTTTTACGGTACGATATTTATTGTGATATTTTGTGGAGCTAATAAAACTGTTAATATGTGACTTTTTCCTCTTAAAATGCCTTGACAAGACTTAATCCAAAGAACTAAGACTTAAAAGTGTTAGAACTGTTATTTCTTCTTGTAGTCTGTACTGAAATGGAGCAAAGGATCATGGTCTATGTAGTTCTCTGTAGTTTTTTTTAAGGCTAATGCTGCACCATAACTCTTAATTTAAGCAAAGAGACTTGTAATTCGATATATTGTGATGGTCCACGATATTATTGTGAGAACTTTGACGATACGATATCACGGTATTTCGGTTATTGTTACATCCCTACAATTTACAGATATCTGTGGAGAGGCAAGCTGCTTAGAGCAATAAAAACAGCCTTAACTTACTGTGAAACATTCCAAGCAAACCTTAAACATCTCCTTTCATAGCACATCTTAATACGATTTTCCTATTGATTAACTTTAAATATGTCTGAAGATAAATCAAAGTTCACAAAACGTCTGTCAAATCAAAGCTTCTCAAATCCAGATAAAATATTATGAACTCACGTAATTATTATTATTTTTTTTTTAACTAATTACTGAACTGCTCTGGTGGATGACTGAAGAGTTTGACTTTTTTCCTCACACGAAACCGTCACTGCCATTGCACATAGAGCAGCTGAATGTAGGAGCCTGTAACTGTGAGGAGCACCTGCACCTGTGGAAAACACTCACTGGAGACGGGTTTAAAACTGTAGAATCATTTAAGCAGCACTTTGTCAACTCATTGTTTTACTGAGAATGTAGTTTACAACATTTCACCCAAAGTTCAGTAGTTTAATCCTAGAACATTTGTAGATGTTTTTCATAGAATTTACTAATTTTGTACTTTTGGGCATGCTGGTTTGAAGACACTATGCAATAAAATGACCACAGTAATTACTTTTTATAAAATATGAAAGTTGTGTTTTTGTGTATTGGCATTTAAAACACGCTATTTTAATATCAGCGAGACCCCATTTCAGTTGTGTCCTTGGGCAAGGCACATCAGAGTTCTTTTGTCACAGAAAAAATCTATTCTAACACAGCTCTGCTCAAACACACGCTCCTCCTGTCGAGCTCTGAGTGAGTGACAGGTGGATTTAAAGTAACACCTAAACTCCTCCTGCAAACACATTTTAAATCGAGCCGCTAAACTGGACGGTACCTTGAGGATTAAAAGGTGCACAGCAAAAACTGGAGGGTTAAAATTTTAGGGTAAAATATTTCAGACTTGTTTTTAACACCAAAAGTTTTATTTTAACTATTTGAACATTAAATGGGGGTTCGAGTTGGGGTTATTTGCCAGAGTTGATGTGGTTGAGGTTAATTCAGCTTCCTTTAGTGTTAATTCAACTTCTCTTGGTGTTAATTTGGCTCCTCCCATTCACCACTTCAAACTCTTGTGAGAGAAGACCAGTTTGAACCAGTTTTGTACATAATTTCATCTTAAATGAACTAAAATAAAGTAAAAATAAAGCTAAATCAGGATAACTCTACAAAGTGTTATCTGTTTACTCTCAAAACGTGAATATAACTCTGGATTTTGGGGTTAAACAGGAACTTTGGTCCAGTGTTACTTAATTAACATTTCCAAAAATGTTAAATTAACTCTAGAACAGATTGGACTCATATAAACTGAGAAAATGTTAAAATTGATTCTGTGAGAGTCAATTTTAACACTTTTTGCTGTGTGGATTGAGGAGGAAGAGGGTCTGGAAGTGTAAGGAACAGTGTGATTGGTCAAACAGGTATCTGCACTTCTAACTCCAGAACCACCTAGCTGTGATCAGGGCAGTTCTATGTGATGTTACCAACTACTGGGAATCACTGAGATCACTGAAGGCAGCAGAAACTTGGATGTAAAGCTCCAGTTGTACCTTGTTTGGACTGATATTTCCCAAAAAAATGACAAGGAACGATAGAAAAAACACCTTATACCTAGTTCAGTAGCGAAAACAGTGGATTTAGTCTCTACTGTGTGTTTTATTTAAAGGTCACGCCCATGTCCTGTTTTTAACTAAGCCCTGATGAAGACCATTTTGGCAGTTTGGTTGAAACATGTCAGCTTTGGCCATCTGAATAAAGGCCTTTCAACTATATTTTTCCTCATGCGATTTTTACTTCTTAAGAGTGCTTGTATTACGTTGTGTTAAAAGTTTTCATCCTTTTTCCAAGAGCGCCTTCTACCTGCTCCCACTGATGGGAACACCTGCAGCAAACAGCCACATTAGTTTTTTTCTGTACTATGGATTCAGTGTTTATGTGTGTAAAATCCCTCAGTCCAGGTAGAATCCATTTCAAAAGGAGAAAATTAATTTGTCAGCTGGACAAAATTAATTCCCGACGAAACGTTTCGCAGCTCATCCAAGCTGCTTTTTCAGAGTTGCTCAAAATACTGATGGACGCTTCCTTATATGTGCCTGAAGAGAGGAGCTAACTACACTGAAACTACTCTGAAACTAACACAATACCTACTTGTTTACAGTTTCTGTTAGTGCAAGTTCAATAGACCAAATTAACTGAGTGTGGGGTCATATTAGCGTCATCATTTAAGGCCATAATGGAGCTTTCACACGTCTGGCCCTGACCTGGCTATCCATATTGCTTTCTTTTTTTGTATTGATTTAGGTTTGAGGATGGAGTTGTAAGGCAAGGCAAGTTTATTTGTACAGCACAATTCGTACACAAAGTAATTCAAAGTGCTTTACAGAATAAGAAATACATTAAAATCATAATAAAAACAAATCAAAACATAAATAATCATGAAGATTAAAATTTTAAAAAAGAGAGACATAAATTGGAGAGAAGAGTGCGGAATGAAAACCTTTCAGTTATTTGCACAGTTAAACAGAAATGTTTTGAGTCTGGATTTAAACAGCGTCACAGAAGAGTCTGTCTCACATGTTCAGACTGTTCCAGGTTTTAGCTGCATGAACCTGAAACTCTGACTCCCCTTGTTTAGTCGTGACTCTGGGCACCAGCAGGAGGCCGGTCCCTGAGCTCCTCAGAGTGCGAGATGGTTCATATGACACTAACATGTCACAGATGGACTTTGGTGCTCGGCCATGGAGAGACTTGTACAAGCAGAGCTGCTTTAAAGTCTCTGAGCCACAGGAGCCAGTGCAGAGACCTGAGCACAGGACTTATGTGCTCGTACTTCCTAGTTCGAGTCAGGACCCGAGCTGCAGCGTTCTGGATGTTCTGGATGTTCTGCAGCGTCTCACAGCTCGTTTGGAGAGACCAGTGAGCAGAACATTACAGTATCTAACCTACTGGAGACAAACGCATGGATAAGTTTCTCCAAGTCTGATTTAGACAGTAAACCTTTGATTTTCGCTATGTTTTTTAGATGGTAAAAGGCTGCAGATGTTATTGACTTGATGTGGCTGTTAAAGTTCAAGTCTGAGTCCATTATTACCCCTAGATTTCTTGCCTGATTTGAAGGTTTTAGAGAGAGAGACTGGAGGTGACTGCTGACACTGTCCCTTTGTTTCTGTGGACCAAACACTATGACTTCAGTAAATTGTAAATCGGAGACAGATGATGTCTGAGTCCTCCATTTCTGTTCAAGGAAGGATTCTCTTAACAAAAACAGCCTCTTTAACTAGTTCTTTTCTCTGGCTAAGATCTGTACCTCTGAATGATTCTGCTAATAAGACCCCAGACTCCATTCGGTCTATTGAACTTGCACTAACAGAAACTGTAAACAAGTAGGTGTGTTAGTTTAAAAGTAGTTTCAGTGTTGTTAGCTCCTCCCTTCAGACAGATATAAGGTGGTGTCCAGCAGGGTCTGACTAGAACCAGGATATCTCCAGGTTTGACTACCCCAAATGTAAGGCTTTTTAGAGACCTGTTTAAGACCACTTAAATGAAAATTAAGCCCAACATCGTACCCATTATGCGGTCAAAAAATACCAGATCCAATTCTAATAATGACCAACCAAGTACCGTATTATATCAATAGTCTAAGAGCCACTGTGGATTAAACCTGCACTTCCCCATGATCCATCCAACGACTTCCTCCACTCTACTGATTGTTTACTCTTTGCTGCCGACGCCAGAAACAAAAGTATTGTTTGCGCATACTCCAAATTAGACGTTCATTCACGTTACATGATTTCACGTTGTTTATTTCCCTCCATTTAAGATTGCACTGCAGCCCGGTTGAGGCTAATGAAATTTAAGACCTTTGTGAAAAAAATAAGACTCGGACAACATGATTTAAGACTTTTTAAGGCCTTAATTTAGGAACATGAAATTTAAGACCTTTTTAAAACCCTGCAGCTACCCTGAGAACCAAAGAAGCAGCTTGGATGAGAAACGTATTCAATCTAAATAAACTTTTGTTGAGTTGACAAATTGAATTTAGTTCCACTTTAACCAATTACAGTGAGGCAGAACTTCTTTTCTCACCTTTTCAAGACTTTATTAAAAAACTACATCGCAATGGGACTCTTTTTTTTTTTTGACAAGCTGCCCTACCCAAGCTTACGAAAAGATCTCTGGAAATTACAAATACCAACAAACTGCCCAAGGTCCATCTCGGCTCTAAAGCTCCCGAGCGCATAAGAACGAAAACGAAATTGTGACCGAAGCTACGATAATTTTACACACACGACCCCAAAGAAAACAACATGAGTGTTTACATTTTACTTCATTTAATATGGACCTCATTTCACTTCATACACTTGCCTCAGTTACGCACAGAGAGACAGCAGACTTGTGTATCCTGTTAACTACGTCATCACTACACATCATCCAAAAGTCGGAATAAAAATACACACAAAAAAATAAATCATTCAGAATCTATACAACAACATGGCATATTAAAAAAAACAAAACTTGGTAGAATACAGCTAAAAATGGATTGATACAGTACTGATAAAACATGAGCGTTTAAGACAGCAGGACCATGTGCCTATAGTCGTCGTATCAGCAGGAAACGTCGGGGCAACAGCTTTGAGGTACAAAAATATGAAACTACGTGAAAATACAAGAATTCATTAAAGCAAAATTGACTCTTGGGAGTTTTTAGCCATGTTAGAATGTCGTTTCCTCTTCAAAAACAGACCCGGAGTTGCGTTTTGTTTCATTCACACACGTTTTTGTAAACCTTTATTATTAGTCTGTTCACATCTCCAAAGCTCTACACGGTCTGCTCCACCTTGTGATGTCATGTAGTGGTAGTTTTCAAGTTAACGGCTCCTTTTACTCCTTTGTTTAGTACAATTTGGTAATTCCAGGGTTGAAATTATCCAAATGATTCTAGTGAAGGTGTGTAAAGTTTAAAAACACAGTGCAGCACCTAAATATGCCCGTGCGAATGAAACAAAACAAAACTCGAAGTATGTTTTGAGTATTTGACGAGAAAACATATGGGCCCTTTAAAAACATGGACCACAAACTCAATGAGGCTGAATCATAATTTTGTGTTGATTTGAGTAGTTTTGTCGAGCTATTTTTGTATCAAAGCATTTCAAACTTGGTTCTAGTTTCCTTTACAAATCCAGCAAAAATCATCTCTTCATCAAATATGATTCTTTAACCAATTGGACTTATTAGGTGAATAAATTATTAACAAAACTACACAAAAAAATCACAACTAATCAGTGAAAATTTACGCTACCAAAGCAAAAAACATTCTCAATCCAAGTAATTTTAGCACTTCCAGACATTTGCAGCAGGACAGTAACTACAGCATTTGACATTTTTTAAGTTTTTCTTTGGTCCAACTAAAAATTTATTTTAAAAAAGGAAAAAAAAAAAAGATCCACAGCAACAGTAAAAGAACAAAAACACATGTAACATAATACTGGGGAATGCGTGAATCTTAAACAACAATTTACCAATCACATTTCGCTCAAACTAAACCTTTAACAATATAAATGTGAAAAAAGAAAAACAACATTTAACATGCATGAAGTTATTTAAGTATAAAAAGTGGGGGAGATGCTTTTTGAGGATAAAAAACTGTTCATAAAGTGGAAAGTTGCAACCAATTGTTCGGCTTAAAAAGGGGGTATTAATTGTTATTTAGATCATCACTTTACCTTATATTGTTTTTTGAAATGCTATATTCACCAAAAACAACTTAACATGTTTCAGTTTTGCTCTCCACACTAAGTCAATCCCCCTTCAGAGCACTGTCACAACACAATCCGAGTTCGTCCCGCTAATGAAACTACACATTGAATCAGGTTTGTCAAGTTGCTGTGTTCAGTTTTACATCATGTTTTTGTATATTTACGCAGAATTGTCTTGTACGGGGAGGGAGAGATCACTAGATTACTCAAACATGCATGGACGACATCTAAAACCTCTTCAGGCATCTTTTTGTTGAGAAAATGTTGGTACAGAACGCGGTACAAACCTCCAAAAAGTCGATTTTGCGCAATACCCCCTCTTTAATAAATTTGGCAATCGTTTAATAGTAAAAAGCACTTTGTTTCCAAGGCTAATTTTGGATCTAAACTTCACATGAAAAGCTACACGTCACTATCTCGGTCTATCTTTGTACAAAAACGCATTCACTACATTGAGAAACATTCTAACACTCTACTTAACATTTTTCATTGGACAGTTTTTCTCTTAAAATGTGCACAGCATCGGGTCACAAAGTGGTGCAAAGGAATGTGGCATAATTAGTATTTTTTTTTTTTTTTTTTTTAGGAGTGCAAGGAACAGTGGAAAGTGAAAACAAAAGTAGATATTTAGGAATAAAAAGTCTTCAAAGTGGGTTACAGTCAAAGCAAATTAAATGCACTAAACATTGTGTAATGAGCCAAAACCAGTGACTTTTTCTTCATATTAGTCCAGTTTTCTTTGCGTCCCTGAGAAATTGCTGTCTCTTTAAAAACACTTTTTAAACACTTTACATCAGGGGTGTCCAAACTTAGTGAAGCTGCAATCGAAACTAATCGGAATATGCGTGACTTAAACTACTGAAATGATTAGAGTTTTTAAGCTGGAGCAGAAAAATTAAAATGCACCATTTGTTAACAAGTTCAAAACAAGTTTTAACATCAAGACTCTACGATTATGTAAATATGGTTTATTTTGTAATTATTTTCTATCAAACTCGAGCAACAGGAGGCCCTCGAAATTTTTAGTCGGGATGGGACAAGATCTCGCAAGACAAAACTGCCACAAGATCGTGCACACGAGAAAAATTATCTCGTGAGATTTTTTTCCAAGTGTTTACATTTGGATTGGACGAAAAAGAGTTATGAGTCTGAGTTACATCTCTTACCAAAAAGCAGTAATAGAATGGAAACAAAAATCTGAAATCAAATAAAACATTGTGAGACTAAAACTGGAAACTGGATTGCAAAAAAAATCATATTAGAAATGATATTAAAATCTCGTCTTGTCTCGTCTTTTGGAAATTGAGTCTCGTCCCATCCCTAGTTTTTAGTGCAATAAACACGACCAAAATAAAAAAGATTGACTTTCTTTTAGTCTCTTTTTTTGGCTAAAAAGTTACATACCGTAGCAAAGTAAAGTAGCATTTTGTCAACTGGACAGTGTTTTAAAAGTTCATCCTTGGCCATGATCCCCGTCTGGACGACTGAGGGATTTCCACAGACATGTCAAATACGATAAAATCTCCAAAACACAACAGAAACAATTGCTCGACTGATAAAAACGATAGAAATTCAACATTTTCAGCTCCGTAAGGATCTTTAAAACACGACACTTGATAAACACAAAACCAAAGGGCCCAAAAAAACAGCAGAGTGGACCGCGTTTGGCTCCCGGGCCGCGGTTTGGACACCCCCGTTTAAATCTGCAGTGCTGCTCGGAAACATTTACAAACATTCACTTTCACACGAGGTCCTCCCGTCTACAGTTACTATGAGAAACTACTCTACATGATCCAACGAATAAATACACAGAATGATCCAACACAACTGACATCTTCATATGTGACGTTAGAAATCGCTTTAACCTGACTTCACAGATAAACAGATGTGGATAAAGGGCCCATATTACACTTTTATGATCTGTCCTAATGTCGTTTCCTCGTCACAAACAGACCTGGAGTTGTGTTTTGTTTCATTCGCACACTTTAAACACAAAAACGAGGATCTAGGTCGAGTTCTTCAGTCAAATAGTAGGAATTGGAATTATAGGAATTGTTTCACTTAGAACGAACTCCCAATCTTTACTGAACTAAATTTTAAATTAAAAGGTAGATGTTGATTTGAAAGCTACCACTACATGACATCACAAGGTGGAACAGAGCATTTTGAGGTTCAGAGATATAGACAGACTAATGGGCTCTGTTCACGCTTACGTCACAAAACCGAAAGACGTTTGGAAACATGAGGACGGTGACTTCTTTTAGGCTCTGTTGGCGATCAGGTCAGGAATTGAAATACACTAGATGGTTCGCAAAAACTCCCAGAAGTGCGAATTCGGGCACCAGTCAATCAGCGAAGAGCCGTACATTCTGTGTTGGCAACGATTCCCGAGATCGAGGATTTAAACATAAAACAACAAAGAGAATGTTTGGTGAATTTTATCAAGGGGGAAAGACGTTATTGTCCTTCTTCCTACGGGATTTGGCGCATTACTTATGCCACGAACAAATAGCAGCGATTGGTTAAATAAAAAAAGGACCCGCCTACTGTCGAGCGAACGAATTCTAATGCTGCAAGGTCAGACAGTTTCTACGAAGTGAAACCGGCTGATGAATCAGGCTAGGCGACAGTAACAAAATCTCGGAAAACTGAGAAAATGGCCTGGTTTTCTTCCTCTAGATGTCACTGTATTCTTTCTTTTTTTCCTTTATAAATTGCCTGTTAATTTGTGTATTACAAAAAAAACGTCATTGCAGCGTTCTGTTATGTTCGGCAGATCAACAGTTACGATTATTAACGTCACGTCCTCCATGGAAAGCTTTGGCAGGTTGTGAAGATGCTGCTGCTCAATCCAAGGTTTTATTACATCACCCGGTGTCGGGAACTACACCGAAGTCGTCATCCGCATGTTTCCAAACGCCTAAAACGGCAAAAGCGCAAATAGAGCCTATAATGCAGAATTACTCAAACATGTGTGAATGAAACAAAACACAACTCCAGGTCTGTTTCCGATGAGGTAACAACATTATAAATCATGGCTTAAAGCTCATAAGAGTCAATTTTGTGTAATATAGAACCTTTAATAATCCTATTCTATTTACACTTTATTAATTTCACTGATAAAGCATTTAAAACGTATTACTCCAGAAATATGTGGTTTGGACTGCACCGAGATAAAGGTAAAACGTGTGACTTTTCTGGTGCCTGCTCGTCTCCATGGCGATGTTATTACGTTGCCTGGAATGTTCCGTGTTATGGCATTAAACTTAAACTCAGTCCAGAGAAGCTTGATACAGGTTCAGGGTGACAACACAGAGGTAAATGACGGGTCAGATCTGCGGAGAGGCGACCCCGCTTACAGCAAAAAGGCTGTAAGGGTGTGCAAAAATAGCGAAATATTGATATATATCGTATCGTTTAATGTGATAATACAGTATCGATATTGTAAGTAGCTGTATTGATATATCGCCAAGAGGATTTTTTGATACATTTTACTCAATTATTTTGTTACAGGGCTACAGTTTTGTTGTTTTGTAGTTGTGTTTCATATGAACTTTGCACAATAAGTGGTTTAACAAACACTTTATTTTTGTATCGAATCGATTTGAGATATATCGAATCAAATCAAAAGCTCATTGTATCGAGATATGTATCGTATCGTGGCCTGAGTATCGAGGTATGTATCGTATTGGCAACTTTTTAATGATACCCAGCTCTAGTGAGAACGCACGTGTACCGAGACGTTTCTGCGGCTGAATACTGTACGTGCTTTTAATGCCATACTCTGGAACATTTCAAGACAAACAACGGCGTCTTCTCAACGAGACGTTCGAAGTGACGCACCCGCTGCCAGAAAAGTTACACGGTGAAACTTTACATATATCTTTGAACAGCAAAAAATTACAAAAACGAAACGTGTCCATTTGTGTCTGGAATAAAAACTCTTCGCGTCGTTAAAATACTGTTCTCTGATTGGTCAAAGTCTCTTTAGTGGTCAAACGCTGCGGTAAAATAGTTGTGTTGGTGAAGAATCGTCGTTAGAGATTAAAATACTGAAGGAGAGCGGGTCACGTGATCACTGATAATCGAAATCACGTCCACACAAATGGGATTTTAGTTTTGGTTTCGTTTTCGAGTTAGTAAAGTAGTAAAATGTAAGGATTTCTAGAAAGAACAGATCATACTGGCCATTTGAATGTAGATTAGAAAGTTTGCCGCCCTCTGCTGGTAAAAGTGGAGTGTGGCATTTGAACAGCCAGAAACAGGAAATTCAGAGGAGTGAGCATTTATTTATTTAGATAAGTTTTAATATGGGGCAACATTAGAAAGACGTGAGTGAGTGAGCTGAGGATTTGGTATTTTTTAGTATTTATATATGAAAAGGCAAGACTGACAAGTTCAATCGGTCTTTACATAAATACACTGTTTCCTAATCCCATATTTTTCGGACTATAAATCGCACTTTAATTCATGGTTTGGGTGTTTCCTGCGACTTAAATATTCAAATTTACAGCTACACAGAAGAGGAAGCAGGCGCTCTGTTTACCTCCGGAGGTCGTGGAGTTGCTCAGAAGTGACACCGAGGATGAAGAATTGAATGGATTTAGTGATTTGGAGTGAGACGGAGAGTTCGGTAAACTTGTTCTATTGTTTTTACTAGAGCTTGACTTTTAAGATGAAATGTCAATTCCTGGTCTCTGATTTTATAAAATACATTTCCCACAAAAAGTGCGACTTATACATGTTTTTTTTCTTCTTCGTTATGCCTTTTTTTGGCTGGTGCGACTTTTACTCCGGAGCAACTTATAGTCAAAAAAATATGGTACTATTTTTCTGTATAAATAGTAGTTTTTGTTGTTGTTTTGTTGTCTTGTGAGTGCAGTCTGGGTCAGATACATAGAGATGCGTAATAATTTTGAGAACTTTTGCCACAAAATCTGAATGAAACGCAATTTAAAATCATAAATTGCAAATGTATTCTTTTATAAAATATATATAGATATAAATTTCCCTCAAACTTTCATGTTTAAAGAGGCTGAGAGAAGTGTTAGTCGTGTATTAAATAAAAAACCCATTTGTGTGGACATCTTTTTTAAAAGGTGCACTATGTAACTTTTCAGGTAGAGACCATTACTTGCTTGTTTCCATGGAGATGTTATCGCTTTGCCTGGAATTTTACACAGTGTGGCATTAAACTCGAAGTCGCGAAGAGTCATCAAGCCAAAATACAGGGTACATCTGTGAAAAGGCGACTCTCACGGTAAGAATGTACGTTTTTCAAGGTGTTTCTGAGCAGTAAAAACGAGTTATTAATGTTAAATAAATGCGTTTTAATGCCATACTGTGGGACATTTCAGTCAAAGCCCTAACACCTCACCAGAAAAGTCCCGCAGTGCACCTTCTGAGTACGACTTCTACTGCTCGCCGGGCCGCTCCAGACTGTCTATGACCCTGCTCAGCCTGATGTTGAGGAGTCTGATCTGCGTATCCAAGTGGTCGATCTTCTCCTCGAGCGACCCCTGACCCCCGCCCCGACGCCAGTACGCCCCCACCGGCCCGGTCATGAAGTACACGGCCATGATGAAGCACAGGGGCAGCACCGCCTTCTCCGGGTCCCCTTCGAACTTCTGCAGGATGTAGAGGCAGGTGAGGGCGAACAGGGTCACGCGCGCCACCCAGAAGAAGCGTCCGAACAGGGCGTGCAGCAGGTAGAAGAACCCGCCCAGGAACATGGAGAGGAACCAGTAGGCCACCAACACCGCGGCCACCAGGAGGAGCGCGCGAGCCGGGGAGCTGCTCAGGGACGTGGGGCTGAAGTAGTGGGTCAGGTTGGACGCTGGAAGAGAGGAAAGTGAAAATGTGAGATGTTGTGACAAGGAACCAGGGCTAATTTGAACGCAGCTCTAGAAAAGACAGTGCAAGTCCATCCAGAGCACAATTGTTAATACATTTTTGTAGAGACAACACTACATAGATTCTCTTTATTATTAAATCTTTGGCTACGTTCAGACTGCAGCTTGAAGTGACCCAAATCAGATTTTTTGGCCCTTATGCTCCTGTATCTGATCTTTTAATGACCGATGATCCGATTTTTTCAAATGCAACCCAGGACACTTGGATATGTGCTCCTAAAATCGATACATATCTGATCTTTTGACATGTGACTTCAGTCTGAACAGCCAAAGCGCATTCATCCACCTACACGTTATCAACAAGCTACAAATGTACACAAATGTTCTTCTCGTCATACCAAAATTGTAAATGAACTCCGTGTCACTGAAGCAAAGCAGATCGCTATCCCAACACTCTTGGCTACATCTCCACATCAACACGTTCCTTTCAACAGACTGCCCCACAAAACGCCACGGCCAAAAACCTCGTCCAATCTCCTCCTTAAAACAAGTAAGTTGTTCATGTTCGGGCTCTGGTACGAGAGGAACTTTAAAATCTCCAGGTGCTCAATGCTGCGTCCATGTTTGGACAACTTCCGTAAACACAGAGCACGCTCGCTGCGGTTGACGTTGTCGTGTCTCCAGTGTCACATGCGGGACACTTTTGGGCCTTTTAATGTTCAGACTGGAGTCACATACAAGTCACATTTAATTGGAAATGTGAACGACCTCGCAAAAACATCGGATTTCACAAAAAAAATCTGAATTGAGCGTTAAGCCCTGCAGTCTGAACGTAGCTTTTGTTATATTGTGACGTGTTTATGTGTGAGCTCCTATGTCCAAATAATTTCCCTTGTGGATCAATAAAGTTTGTGTCAAGGCCGCCACACACTAAGGAGAATTTGCCTGATTTTGGCTTTGTTTTCTTCTCCCCATGACCCGACTTTGTGACTTTGTGTGCAATTTTGTGTGTTTTTGACTCTGAACTGCTCTGTCCGATCATAACCACTAAACATCAGCAACTTTACGGTAACAGCCGATAAAAAAGAGCATCGGGGCAGAGGAGTGACGGACACAGAGACGCAAAATACAAACTCGGGATATAGTGAAAATAATGAGAAGACTTTATTCCTCAGCTCTCGTTAAGTTGTGAATTTAAACAGCAGCATTTCATCCACATTATCCATAGAATTTGCCCACTCCAAATAAAGACCCCAGTCCACAAAACCGCACTGTTAATCCAGTTTGAAGTGTTCTTAAAAAGTAAAAAGGCCAGAGTAGTTCCTACATCCACACAGCGCATGGATCGAGGTGAAGCTGCAGATTGCGACAGTGACTCTACTTCCTGTGGACATTATCTCCAATCTTTTCCGCTTTACAAATCCTGTATCTGAAGTTTTGCATCACATTTCACAAATAATAATAACACAGTTTTGACATGTAACAGTCTCAAAGTCTCAAAAGAGCGAATGATTTTGCCCTAGACAGGAAACAGCAGACATGATCTCACTCACAACTTTATATCCTGTGGTCTGCAGACAGATCGCGCTGCAATGTTTGTGATTGGAAATTTTAAGTCTCATAAGATTCTCCTCGTGTCTGTGGTTGTGGCGCTTTTTGTCGCACATTTAAGAATTGTTAGAGGACCAAAAATCCTGTAGTGTGTGGCGGCTTTTAGTCCAAGTCTAAGTTTCGCAGATATTTTAGGTCGATATTTGCACTTTTTTGCACATGGGCGATTGGCCTTAAATCTCCTGCATAGACCGATATTCGGTTTGTGTCGACTAATTCCAGCATAAGGCTTTATTTTAACACTTAAACGTGACTCATGGCGTTCACAAAAAGGTTACATTGCTTCATTAAAGGTTCGTAGGAAAAACAGGGCTGTGAATGTATTTTTCCTTATTATACTTTAAATTTCACAAACCAATAAAAAAGTCTAATTGCCCAACTTTTCTTGTGCAGGTTTGTTGTTTTTTTCTTTTGCTGTTACGTCACTCTCTATTGAATAACCCAGGCCTATTCTTGGATTGGATTCATTAGTTTTGCCCATTCAGAAATGTCAAGGCTGATATTTATTGCTTGTTTTGGTCATTTTCCACAAAAATACATCATTTGACGTTACTCCTAACTTAAAAGTCCATTGCACTTTTTTGGTGGAGTGTCCATCACCTGCTTGTCTCCATGGAGATGTTTTTGCTTTGTCTAGAATGTTCCACAGTAGAGATTAAACCCGTCTATCTCAAGGGAGGCAACTATAGGACAGATTACAGGTCACATCTGTGGAAAGGCGCCCATATTCACAGAGAGAATTATTGTATTTTTGAGCAACAGAAACACCCGTAATAAATAAATGCTAGATGGATATGTTTAAAGTCATTAAGAAGTTGCCGATACGATACTTACCTCGACACATAAGCCACGATACGATACATATCTCGATACACTGCACTTTCGATTTGATACGATATATTTCAAAACGATTCAATACAGTACAGTAAAAAATAAAGGCTAAATCGTGGCTGTGATACTAAAAGTCTTTGTTAAACCACTTCTTGTGCAAAAGTTCATATGAAACACAAACATTTTAATCATCAAAACAGTGAAAATGTCAAATGTGTCACATAAACGAATTTCCTTCCTCTGAACAAGCAACAAAACTGTATCAGTGACAAAATAATTTAGTAAAATATACCAAAAAATACTCTACAGCAGCCGACGATATCGATATTGTGTCATCTCATTAAACTATACGATATATTGATATTTCAGTATTTTTGCACACCTCTTAAAAGTCATAACATGGAACATTCCAGGCAAAACAATAACATCTCCACGGAGACAAACAGATGATGGACCCTCCACCAGAAACATTGTGCAATTCACCTTTAAGTTTGTTGTAGTTTCAAATTTGATATTTTTGTGAAAAATGATAAAAAAAAAAAAAGCAATACATGTTTTTATAATAATAATAATAATTAAATAAATAATAACAATAATAATAAATAAATAAAAAAAATCATTAAAAAATAAATAAATAATAAATAAATAAAAATAAATAATACATACTTTAATAAACATTTTTGAATGGGCAAAAGTAATAAATTAAATCCAGGAATAGGCCTGGCTTATTCAATCAGGTTAAAAGAAAGTGACATGAAAAACACAAAATATATAAAAAAATAAACATTAGATTTGTACTCACAATTTGTACTTGTTGTTGTTATTTGTTTTTGTGTGTGTGTGTCTATTAGTCTTATATTTAGTTATGTCTTATGTTTATTTTGTATTCATAACCTCAAAATGACAAAAATGAAAAAAAAAGATAAAAGAAAAAGATTTGTACTCACAGTCGATGCCCATGACGTCCAGAAGGTCGGACCAGATCTTCCACAGACTGTCCACGAAAGAGTCGACTCCATGAACGAAGCGCTCTGTGGTTTTGGAGAAAAACTGAGCAAACAAATACAGAGTTTAATGCAGTGACAGAAATTAAAACATGTTCCAAGTCTGTTCTAGCAAAAGCAGAAGTAACACAGACGTTGTTGTATCGCTGAGCAACACACTTTTGGTTGGCACTGGTGGATATCGTGACAGAATCATCGAGCTCAGCAGCCACAGTGGTAAATGTGGTAGAGTCTCGTGACGGGGAGGTTAGTGGTTCGATTACAGTTCCAACTAAAGCATGCTATAGTTACATTACTGGAAAAAAACAATTCTATTTCAGTGATAGTTGAAGAAACCACTGACAAAGATGGACGGCCCCTTCCCACATGCAGCTCATCATTCGTTCATTCGCTTTTCAAACTAAAACCAAAAATAAGAAAACAAAAAAACAACAATTTTCTTCATTATTTGTCTCCAAAACCAAAATGAAAAAACAGATAACGATTCATTTTTTTTTCTTTTCAGTTTTTGATTTTGCGTTTAAATGAAAAACGGAAAAAACTAATAACGGACGTTTCCTGTTTACGTGACTTAAACTGCGATGCCGGACTGAACCAAGACTAAACCAGGTCCAGGATCAGACCGGAACCAGAAAGCTCACGATTAAGGATGTAACAATATCCAAATCTCTCTATAAGATATTTTCACAGTATACAACTCACGGCACGACATTTATTGACATATTTTGTGGAGGATAACCAGCTAAAACTGTTAATATCCTACTTTTTTTTCCTGAAAATGCCTTGACAAGACTTAATCCAAAGAACTAAGACTTAAAAGAGCTTGGAACTGTTATTTCTTCTTGTAGTCTGCAGTGAAATGGAGCAAAGGATCATGGTCTATGTAGTATGAAGGTAAATATGTTACAAAATGAGAGAGCGTGTAAACTTGATTTGAGAACTTGTAGAATATAATGTGAGAATATGTAGAACAAAACTTTGAACTTGTAATTACTTATTTTCATATACGTGGTCAACCCCTCCTCCCCCCAGCTCTCTACAAGTGTCACATGCACATCGCCAAATGTGCTGCAAAAGTCCAGGCGCCGATTTGAACCTGCTGGGACAAAAGTTGCAGTCACTGAATTGTGGTTGTATCTGTCATACTCGATGCAGATGTCACTCTGTTCATGCAAATATCAATCTACACATTCATTCATATTTTTCTCCGGGGTGTGTAAATATTTTCCACAAGTGAAAATTTCAATCAGCAAGTGCACACATTTTTTTCAAGCATTCGTGTTTTTTTTTTGGTTTTTTTTCACTGTGACTGCAAATTCAACACACACGTATACAGTGTTGGGGAGTAACAGATTACATGTACCAGCGTTATGTAATCAGAGTACAATTTATGAGTAACTGTATTCAGTTACAGTTACTGTTTCAATGAGTGGTAATTGGATTACAGTTACTTTGTTGAAATAAATGGATTACACGGCGGTATTTTCCTGTTTTCACATTTTGGGCTATCTAAACAGGTCTAAACCAGTTCTAAAACCAGCTCTAAACTAGATTTAAACCAGGACTAAACCAGGTTTAAAACAGGACTAAAACCAGGTCTAAACTAGATTTAAACCAGGACTAAACCAGGTTTAAAACAGGACTAAAACCAGTTCTAAAACCAGCTCTAAACTAGATTTAAACCAGGACTAAACCAGGTTTAAAACAGGACTAAAACCAGTTCTAAAACCAGCTCTAAACTAGATTTAAACCAGGACTAAACCAGGTTTAAAACAGGACTAAAACCAGGTCTAAACCAGCTCTAAACTAGATCTAAACCAGGACTAAAACCAGCTCTAAACTAGATCTAAACCAGGACTAAAACCAGCTCTAAACTAGATCTAAACCAGGACTAAAACCAGCTCTAAACTAGATTTAAACTAGATATAAACCAGGTCTAACACAGGTCTAAACCAGGACTAAAACCAGCTCTAAACTAGATCTAAAACAGGATTTAACAGGACTAAATCATGCTGCATGGACGTGTCTTCTCGTCTTCTATCAATAATATTTTTACTACGGTTCAGTAAAGTCTGGGCTTTTCATTTTCCTTCAACACACAAAACATTTTATGTGAAGATTTCCTCGTGTTTGCTTCTCTACAGCAAATCAAGTAATCCAAAGTATTCAGATTACATTACTCACTTAAATAATTTAATGGATTACGTTACAAACTACATTTTGGGGTATGTAATCTGTAATCTGCAGGGGAATACATTTTAAAAGTCACCTTCCCAACACTGCACGTATATGAAAATAGGTGATTACAAGTTCAAAGTTTTGTTCTACACATTCTCAAATCAAGTTGACACGCTCTCTCATTTTACAACATATTTACCTTCATAATGTAGTTCCCTCTGCCTTTTTTTGCTCCATAACTCTTAACGTAAGCAAAGAGACTTGTAATTCGATATATTGTGATGGTCCACGATATTATTATTATTTTTATTTATTATTATTTCTATTATTATAACTGTGACGATACGATATCACGAGTAATTAAGGAAAATTGTTCTGCACTCAGCCCACGGGAGTCAGTATAGTCACATTTTCTTTGTGTTTTGGTCATTTTTAAGCAGCTTTTCTGTATTTTACTTAAACAAATTATAATGTATGCCTCTCTTTACTGTTCGCAGGTATAAAATTGGTCAAATATAGGGACACCTGGGACATTTCTTGCATAAAACTGAGTCAATTCATTCGTTTTGGATAAATCTGCAGGGACAGGGACAACAGACACAAAACTGAGACTCAAAACTGTTCAACCTATTTCTGGATGCTATTTTTAGTCATTCTTTGCTTTATGTACAGCACTTGGTTTTCAAAGTGCTTTATAAATAACAATGTATTACTATTAATATAAATTAAACCCACGATCTGCTTAAAGGTGCCCCAGTTTTCCTCTGTCCTCAAGCAGCCTGCGATCATGTGACTTTACAAACATGTGGGGGTTTTTATTTGGCGGGCAACACTTGAGACGGGAAGAGGCTGAAGAGATAACAAACCAGGAAGTGCACTTTTCATGTTTAGATTTGCACCTCTACGTCTAAAACCTGCACAAAACACTGCACTGGTTACGTTTTGCATGTTATGTTATGTTATTTACAGCTATTTTATGATATTTATGGTTTTGCTTTCGTTTTATTTTGACTGGTTTTATAGTTTTAGGACTGGTATGATCAAATTTGAGCAATATAATGTGCAGCACTTTCTTTGGAATCTGCTTTGTTTGGAAAATAAAGTGGATTTTGACGGTTTGCATTGCACAACAGAGGGGCTAACGCTACTGTACTGACTTCGCTCCACAGAATGAATGAAAGGAAAGCGTTTGCAAGCTCCAATGGTGCATATTTCATTCAGAAAACGTAAAACTATTCACAAAAACATCTTCTACGAGCCCAAATATGATGAATAATAGCTAATTTCTCAAAATGGCCTCTTGGAAATGTTAGCTAGTAGGCCTGTTTCCTCTTCGCTTTGCAGAAAACCAAACACTCGCCTATTGCAAAGCTTATTTTGAGGGAAACCAGTGGGATAATTGAAGTTTTTTGCACGCTGGATCACCTTGTACAGGCCTTTGATGTTGTCCTCCCCGAAGACGCTGCTCAGGGTCTGGTACACCCCGTTGGCCGCCCGCCTGAAGCTGTTGCTCGGCTGGTTCCTGCTGCTCCTCGCCGCTTCGGAGGCGCAGAGGACGGACGCCAGGAGCAGCAGGGAGACGGCGAAGAACGGGGCTCTTCTCATGGCGGACAGGACGCGGACAGAACGCGGAGGCCGAAACGTGGAGCAGGAAAAACGGGGGGAAAAAGCAGCGAGAGACGGACCGCTGTCTGCTGTGGAGGACGGACCGGGCCAACGCGCTGTTCACGGACGACACGTAAAGGTTTTAAGCATTCAAAAAACCTATTATTAAAAACATATCACATCAGCTTTTTGTTATATGATGCCATTTTGAGCATAATTCACCATTCATAAGATATAGTATTTAGTTTGAAATGTTTATTGCAATGGTAACGGTTTAACTTTTCATCATTCGGAAAATCATGGATAATTAACGCAAAATATATAAATAAAAAAATTTAAATCTACTCCAATCGTGCTGCTTATGCTCATTTTACACATTTGTACCAACACTGTTACATTAATATTTTAGTTTATTTAAAAATCTGTCTATCAGATGGTTACTACTTAAATGGCCAATAAACCGTAAACGCAACAGCAGGAATCTCTGCTGCCATCTGCTGGACAATACGGGAAACACAGCCACAGCTATAAATAATAGTTTTTATTTCATTCATTTATTTTTCTTATTTTAATGTCTTTTTGAGCACTGCTACCAACAAAAATCTATAAAGAAAAAAATATATTAGTGAAAGATACACTATGATAGTTTTGTTTGGTATAACGATCAAAATAAATACATAAATGGTATTTGACATGTTTAATACGTCATAATTAAATAGCATAATTAGTCAGAGTAGGTTTATTAATAAACATTGTACAGTATTTACATATTTATTTACACAAAGCTTATCCTGGTCCACAGGCTTTAATATTCACAAAATATATTCCTGCTATAAGCAAACCCAGCACGATACTGTTCGTTATGGGGGTTTGTGGTGTCGTTTTTATGTGTTTAGAGGCTAAATCTCTTGTTATTTCAGTTGTGAACCAGTAAAATAAACATTTAAGAGAGAAATGCAGGACTCAGGAGGAGCGTAACGTGAAGAACCGCACTTGGTTTCCAGGCAACGACGCACACGACTTGAGGCGCTGAAGAGGGAGAGTTTTTTTTTCTTCTCGGGGCTAAACTTTCATTGAAACAGAACTCATTGCAGTTTAATACCGTAAAATACCGTATTATTGTTTTAATATTTAGCACGTGCGTGGGCCTGACGGTGAAATGTACTCACGAGCTCCACGAGTGACTTTTGTGACGCGCAGCAGCACGTCTCCTGCTGTTGGCCCTGGGACCTACGACGTCTCACAGTTTCACTTTCCAATGTCAGGTAAGAACATGTTTGTACGGTTTATTCATTATTCTTTTATTTTATTTTTTGTAAATATCTTGGTTTGTTCACATCAAACTTGAAGAACTGTGTATTTCCTGTTTGACGCTTTTATTCTGAATGTTACTTCCGTCTTGTTCCTCCCAAGAAAAATTGTAAAATCAGCTAAATATAAAATAAATGGTCTCATTTTTATACAGCGCTTTTCCACCTTCAAGACACTCAAGACGCTTTACAACAAATAACCACTCACACATTCACACACACACTCACACCCCAGACCACACCAGCAGACACTAGGGGGAAGTGGGTTAAGTGTCTTGCCCAACGACACAACGACAGCATTCATTTGTGGGAGCTGGAATCGCACCACCAACCTGTGGGTCAGTGGATCTGAGTGCTCAACCAATGACATTTATGTTTATGAGCGGGATTCAAACCATCAAACTTCAAATCATTGGACAAACACTCAACCAACTGAGCTACTCTTGCCTTATATAACAAATATTTATGAAAATTAAAAGTTTCTGGTCAGGCAAAACTGTGTCAGAAATTCCTTGGAGACAAGAACGTGACGACATCAGGTCAAGTTGCAGGTTAGATCTGTGACGATCCCTCACCCACAGCTTTTCAAGGCATCTTTGAGCAATAAAATAATAATGCTTCATGGCCATACTGGCTTGTCAAAGCCTGATCCCGTCAGATCTCAGAAGCTCAGCAGGGCCGGGTCTGGTTAGGACTTGGATGAGAGACACTGGGAAAATCAGGTGCCACAGGAGGCGCCAGCCATAAAAACTGTCATTGTGTCCTTAGGCAAGACACTTCACCCACATTCTAGTCTAGTATGAAACTGGTGTGCGTGAGTGATGGTGGTGGTCAGAGGGACCGATGGCAGCCGTGCTTCTGTCAGTCTGCCTCAGGACAGCTGTGGCTACAATAGTAGTTTACCATCACTGGATGTGGAGAAAAAGAATAATGAATCTATAAATGCTGTGTAAAGCATCTTTGTGACATATGTCTGTGGTCCAGGAACATTCCAGGCAAAGCCATAACATCTCCATGGAGAGAAGAAGGGTCAAGTTCTCCACCAGAAAAGTTACACAGTGCACCTTTAAATTCAGCATCCTAATGTGTTAATGAGATCTTGGCCCGTCACTCTACTGTTACTGCTTACATGTGCACTGGTATAACTGCTGCTGTCACATATTGATCAGATGTTGTTGTGTGTTCAGACGGCTTCGCTCCGTTCCTGTCCATGACCAGCAGAGAGACTCCAGCCCCACAGCCCGACAGTCTGAGCCTCCCCGGGCCCGGACAGTACGACTACTCCCCCGTGAAGGTACCACCACATCACAGGCCTGTACTGCACTCTGCTTTGTTGACAAATATCTTAGAGGGAAAATCACAAATGTATAACCACAATGATAAAAAAATACTCATTCTTTAGAGAGTAGAATGTGATTTTCAACATTAAACGGTAGTTTTTTCTTTTCTATTCCCATGTGGTCTTATATCCGTGTAATCCCTCAGTGGTCCATGGGCGTTACACTAGTCTATGTGCTCTTATACTTGTTCTGATACAGCTCAAGATCATTCGAAAACTATTCACAAAAGGTTCATTTCTGTCCTGTGAAAGTGACTTTTTTACAGGGTTCCCACTCTTTTTCACTGACAAAATTTCTAAACTTTTCCATGACTTTTTTTATGACCTAAAGTGAATTTTCCATGACTTTACGGCACCTACATGTGTAGAACTGATCAGACTTTTAGGTCTAAATATGAAATATTGATTCCATGATTTCTTTTTCAACTCAGATTGCTTATTTGTTTTATACTTTCATTTCAGAGCAATGACACAATAAACTGAATCATTTTCAGTCAAAAACAGGAAAAAGTGGTTCTAAAACTTTTGACCGGTGGTGTAAATCCTCCACTCTCATGTGTGTCTTGTCTGAACCCTCCCCGCCTCCTCTCGTCTCTCCTCAGGTGAACATCCACGGAGGCAGAAGTTTGCAGAACCGCTCTGAGCGTTTTGTGGAGCCGGCGTCTGACGTGCCCGGTCCAGGCTCGTACCAGGTCGTACCCGTCCTGGGGCAGAGGAGGAGCGAGGGGCGGAGCAAACAGTCACCGCGCAAAGGGGTCAGAGTCTAACCATCTATCTGTACTTGTGTAGTGTCCACTTGGTTTTAACATGATGTAGGAAAGAGAGCAGCGTGTGACTCTAGCCCTGGGGTTTCAAAATAGCCGCCCGTTCAAGTCAGTGGGCCGAGCTCGATGGTGCATGATTCCAGATTCGCCTTTAGCCCAGTGAAGTTCTTCCGGTGGCTCTGCGCTGATTGAGCATGTGCAGTTGTGCTCTTTTCTCCCGTGGACATATGACAAAGCATGCGAGCGCACACACGGAGCATGGGTTTGTGTATCACGTGATCGCTTTGACCAATCAGCCGAAGCCGAAGCCGGAGCTAATGATTATAAAGCGTTTTTTAAGACAACTAAAGGATTTTGAGCTGAGAAAAAGTTTACAATCTAAAAATAGGTAAAAATCGCCATAAAATCCAACATTTTTGAAAGTTGTAGGTGTAGGTACGTCAACTGGGGGCACCTACAAGCAGCAACACTCTATCCACTTATTTTAATAGATCCTTGGTGTGACTACATAATAAACCCTCTTGCCGTCATGTTCCAAATCTAGAATAGGAAGTGTTCATGGGGGCGCTTCCGGCTCCATCAACTCTGTTTCCAATCGACTTTACATTGGAAAATTGTTATTATTGTCACCCCTCTCTCTGTAACTGCAGCTGTGAGACTTGACATTTCGGTCTTAAAGTGTTCGTATTAACATGATCCTGGTGCTTTTATTTTGCTACTTTATACACTTAAATAAATTCCTACTCTTATTATGGAGCCTCGTGAGCTTCATTTGACTGGAGATAAAAACTATGGGTGACGTCACACTCCCTTAGCCCACTTCTTTATAGTAGTAGTAGTAGTTTATTTGGTCATTTTGCAGCATTACAAAACAAAACAAAACAAAACATAGACTATAACCCCATAGATCATGATCGAAAGGGTTTAGGCTGAAGTAAAACATACTTACAATGCCTAAAACTATTAAACAAGCACAGAATTCCAAGAAAGAAAACAGCGTATGAACAACAAGTTAACATATACAATTTCAGTTATGACTTACTGTAAATATAAGTGTAATTAATTCATTCCAGAGCTCTATATCTTTCAAAACATAACGATTTATACTCTTTTTTTTTTTTTAAATGCTTCTACAGTCTGTGCTCGTGAAAACAACAGGAAAAACATGATCTCGGACAGAGAATTATAATACGTCATCATTTTAACAAACAAGTAATATTTATTTTGGTATTTGGGGAAATCAGTTCTACCAAAAAGTAAATCTGTTGTACTCAAAAAGACAAAACATCCGAGGTTTAAGAACCTGTAAAAGGCCCATGTTACGCTTTTCTCTGATCTATGTTCTAATGTTGTTTCTTCATCACAAACACACCTGGAGACCTTGTGTTTTGTTTCATTCACACGTCTTCAGTCCAATCAAACTTTATTTGTAGAGCACATTTAACAAACAAGACAGTTTCCAAAATGCTTTACGTAGCAGTGTAAAACATTTAACTCTAAAATGTCAGCAGAATTATGTTCCAGACAAAAGGAACTAATAGAATCAATAGATAAATTAATAATAGTAAAGCCAATAAATAAAGGTTGTACTAACACACTAGACACACATTTATTACACAAACCCTGCATATTTCTTCTCTCAAACGGAAAACACTATGTTCCACCTCGTGATGTCATGTGGTAATACAGGAAGTGCTCCACTGTGTTTTTAAACTCCACACACTTTCACTAGAATCACTTGGATAATTTCAGCCCTGGAAATGCCAAACTCTACTGAACTAAAGGTAAAAGGAGCCGTTAACTTAACTCTTAACTACCACTACATGACATCACAAGGTGGAACGGAGCATTCTGAGCTTTGGAGATGTAGACAGACTAAACAAAACACAACTCCAGGTTTGTTTTTGATGAGGTAACAGTATTATAACATGACTTAAAGCCCACAAGAGTCAAGTTTGTGTGGGTAGTGCCTAACCCCTATTGAAAACTACTCATATTAAAGTGCGTATGACAGATTTTTGTGATTCTCTAATTGATTCTTAATTGATAATTGATGCTCTAAATCAGGGGTCTCCAACCTGTAGCTCCATCTCCTTCCAAGTAGCTCACCCAGGGATTTCTGAATTATACCTATTGCACTGAATAACTCAAATTTGATTGATTAAATGCATATCTTCTTTGTAAACGTATAATTTCGATGCCTAATTTTGTGAGCTGAAAACTGGATCATGGGTTTTTATGTTTTATAGACGTCTAACTGTACCTCATTTTCAGCTTATCGTGGCTTTTATATTTACAAAATTTCTGGCGACCACAAAAAACTAGTATCTCTCTGGCATTTTCGTTTTGCAAAATGTAGCTCACAGTAGGAGAAAGGTTGGAGACACCTGCCTTAGATGAAGAAAAGTTGAAAATTTTTTGAAAACTGCAGTAAGTAGCGCGTTCTATCCGAAACTTATCAACATTTTACACTTAAGAAACATGATTTTTAAACATAATTTCAACAATTTAATTTTTGTATTTGTCACATAATAATTTCTGTGTACATTAGAGGAGTTTTTCTTGGTAACCGTTATGAATTCTCTCGTTTGATGTCACAATTTCCAACTAGAATGTCAAATTTTAGCCCAAAAAAATTCCCAAATTGAGAAAACAAATTTGAATATTTTTTGCAAAAATGTTAAATCTATTTTTTTTACTTAAAGGTTGTATGGAGGATTTTTTTTTTTTTTTGTTTGTTTCAAGTTGTCAATGATAGATTATAGAGGTGCAGTAGCCTTGTAATTATGATGACCAAAAAAAAGAGAATAAAAATTCATCAACTCTGGACGTGGTGGGGCTAAACATTTGCCAATAGATAACGACACTGCCTCGTTATCTGTGAGCTGACAGGCTGTCAATCAAACTCCCTACGTTTCTAGTGTAACTGACTTGCCTGCGCCGCCGGTACGTGGTTTACGTACGACTGTCACGCAGTCCACAGACGCAAGACGCACAGACGCTGTTTACTCCACCAACGCAACAGTTCTTAGCGGCTTTTTTTTTGACCTATATCTTCCTCGCAGTTCGCACAAAGTTTGTTGCAATGGCGACAAGAATCCAGGAGCAGTTAGCCCCAAAAGAAAGTCCGTTTTTGAGGTCGCTGAAAGAAGAAGACAAGGGGAAAAGCAGCGAAGCCAAACTAAGGTGATTCTTGGAGATTCATTCCAGCGATGGCGCGACTGAAGCAGACGCAGGGTCTAAAGACTGACGCACTGGTCCACAAATTACTCCTGGACAGGAAACTTCTGCTTATTATGAAAACGTACTTTATTTCCAAGAGCGAGACAAACGTTTTTCAGGACACGAAAGCGATATCCTATGTCTGAAAACGTAATTTTCAAGGCAAAGAAAGAGTCCACTTGCTGCTGCGTGTTGTAGCTAGTTCATTCGCACTGAATCTCCACGCACTCTTCTCTGCTCCCCTTTCCTGCTCCTCTCCCCGCTGCCCGATCCGCTCTTCCCCCTGCTCCTCACTTCTCCGGGCACGGAATCTCCGCGCACCGCTCCCCTCTCCTCTCCCTGCTCCCTGCTCCGCTCTTCTCCCTGCTCCTCACTTCTCGTCCGCGAACGAAATGTCCGCACACCCCTCCTCCCCCCGCTGCTCACTTCTCCGTCTTGCCTAACCAACACTGTAGTTAGTTGTTTACAAGTCATGTGCAGCACCGGCTGTAAACAAACCTGTTTCTGGCGTAAAGAGGAGGCGGGAGGAGGCGTTTCTACGTAGGGAGCTGTAGGGGAGGGGGGGTGGTTTCACGCATGCGCAACATTTGAAAAAGGACAAACAGTCGCTGGATTTCTCGTTCCTTGGAAAATCCTCTATACAACCTTTAACTACCACTACATGACATCACAAGGTGGAACGGAGCATTCTGAGCTCTGGAGATGTAGACAGACTAAACAAAACACAACTCCAGGTTTGTTTTTGATGAGGTAACAGTATTATAACATGACTTAAAGCCCACAAGAGTCAAGTTTGTGTGGGTAGTGCCTAACCCCTATTGAAAACTACTCATATTAAAGTGCGTATGACAGATTTTTGTGATTCTCTAATTGATTCTTAATTGATAATTGATGCTCTAAATCAGGGGTCTCCAACCTGTAGCTCCATCTCCTTCCAAGTAGCTCGCCCAGGGATTTCTGAATTATACCTATTGCACTGAATAACTAAAATTTGATTGATTAAATGCATATCTTCTTTGTAAACGTATAATTTCGATGCCTAATTTTGTGCGCTGAAAACTGGATCATGGGCTTTTATGTTTTATAGACGTCTAACTGTACCTCATTTTCAGCTTATCGTGGCTTTTATATTTACAAAATTTCTGGCGACCACAAAAAACTAGTAGCTCTCTGGCATTTTCGTTTTGCAAAATGTAGCTCACAGTAGGAGAAAGGTTGGAGACACCTGCCCTAGATGAAGAAAAGTTGAAAATTTTTTTGAAAACTGCAGTAAGTAGCGCGCTCTATCCGAAACGTATCAACATTTTACACTTAAGAAACATGATTTTTAAACATAATTTCAACGATTTGATTTTTGTATTTGTCACATAATAATTTCTGTGTACATTAGAGGAGTTTTTCTTGGTAACCGTTATGAATTCTCTCGTTTGATGTCACAATTTCCAACTAGAATGTCAAATTTTAGCCCAAAAAATTCCCAAATTGAGAAAACAAATTTGAATATTTTTTGCAAAAATGTTAAATCTATTTTTTTTACTTAAAGGTTGTATGGAGGATTTTTTTTTTTTTTTGTTGTTTCAAATTGTCAATGATAGATTATAGAGGTGCAGTAGCCTTGTAATTATGATGACCAAAAAAAAGAGAATAAAAATTCATCAACTCTGGACGTGGTGGGGCTAAACATTTGCCAATAGATAACGACACTGCCTCGTTATCTGTGAGCTGACAGGCTGTCAATCAATCTCCCTACGTTTCTAGCGTAACTGACTTGCCTGCGCCGCCGGTACGTGGTTTACGTACGACTGTCACGCAGTCCACAGACGCAAGACGCACAGACGCTGTTTACTCCACCAACGCAACAGTTCTTAGCGGCTTTTTTTGACCTATATCTTCCTCGCAGTTCACACAAAGTTTGTTTGCAATGGCGACAAGAATCCAGGAGCAGTTCGCCGCAAAAGAAAGTCCGTTTTTGAGGTCGCTGAAAGAAGAAGACAAGGGGAAAAGCAGCGAAGCCAAACTAAGGTGATTCTTGAAGATTCATTCCAGCGATGGCGCGACTGAAGCAGACGAAGGGTCTAAAGACTGACGCACTGGTCGCCAAATTACTCCTGGACAGGAACTTCTGCTTATTATGAAAACGTACTTTATTTCCAAGAGCTAGAGACAAATGTTTTTCAGGACACGAAAGCGATATCCTATGTCTGAAAACGTAATTTTCAAGGCAAAGAAAGAGTCCGCTTGCTGCTGCGTGTTGTAGCTAGTTCATTCGCACTGAATCTCCACACACCTTCTCTGCTCCCCTTTCCTGCTCCTGTCCCCGCTGCCCGATCCACTCTTCCCCCTGCTCCTCACTTCTCCGGGCACGGAATCTCCGCGCACCGCTCCCCTCTCCTCTCTCTCTCTCTCTCTCTCTCCTCTCTCTCCTCTCTCTCTGCTCCGCTCTTCTCCCTGCTCCTCACTTCTCGTCCGCGAACGAAATGTCCGCACACCCGCTCCCCCCGCTCCTCACTTCTCCGTCTTGCCTAACCAACACTGTAGTTAGTTGTTTACAAGTCATGTGCAGCACCGGCTGTAAACAAACCTGTTTCTGGCGTAAGGAGGAGGAGGGAGGAGGCGTTTCTACGTAGGAGCTGTAGGGGAGGGGGGGTGGTTTCACGCATGCGCAACATTTGAAAAAGGACAAACAGTCGCTGGATTTCTCGTTCCTTGGAAAATCCTCTATACAACCTTTAAAAGCAGAAGGAAGCCTAACCATTGTACCCAAATAAAAAATGTAAATATCAGGACATGTAAACGTTTTCTCACACAAAACAAGAAAGTATTTATTGTGTGTCCTGTCATAAGTTTGATCCTCTGCTCTCGGCGCTAAAAACAAAATCAAAAATCAAAACATCTCAACATCAAACCTGTGAATCTGCATATGGAAGGTGTTTAAATCCCTCCCGCAGTCACATTTCACACCCATAAATAAAACTTTCTCGAACCCGCCTCAGTAAACAAGAGCCGTGAGTTTAAGAATAGCCTCTTTTTTCAGTCCTTCGTGTTCGAGTCACACGTGTCGGAGCGCGGGCTGAGCTGTGTGTGTGTGTGTGTGTGTGTGTGTGTGTGTGTGGAGTCGGGCTCGGTAATGAGGATCTGAGCCTCCTTCTGTGTGTGGCTTCAACACCATCTGTTTATTAAAGAATGTTACAGAAATATGTGGGCTTCAAGAATCACAACACGAGCGCGAAGACGAGCCCGGGCCCGCCTCCAAAAGTGTGATTTTTATTATTAGAAAGCGCATAAGGCACAAAGCTAAAGGGAAAACAGCAGAGGAAAACAGATTCCGCCGAGGTCTGCGATCAAGTGTTAAGATTATAGTGAGAAGAAACGTCACATTTTTAAAAGCATTTACAACTGTTGACACCGTGACCAAAAACAGCGAAATGTACAGTGTCATCTTTATTTATTTGGTGAAAAATAAAAGCACTAAATAACTAGACAAAAATAAAAGCACTGAAAACATGGACAAAAAAAAAAAACATGCATGCTGTGAGCGGGCTTGCATCTCCACAAACCTGACACGTGGCTGCTTGTTTCCATGGAAATGTTGTTCCTTTGGCTGTAATATTGCACAGTGTGGCAACTTCAAATTTCCAATATGTTCCAAAGTATGGTTTTAACTTTGTATTTCCATAGAATGATGCAGGTGACTTGTCATCTCCAGAAAATGACATACTGTAGCTTTAATTTAACATCTAAAATGGTTTTCTTAATTAAATTGTGACCTGAATTATCACTTAAACCAATAATCTTGACATTCCTGCTGTCAGAACAGAAGTTAAAATGTCCTAATATTTTCGAGTGTCGAGCAGGTCTAATAGAATCCCTCCCTGTTCTCTTCTGTCACTGAGTGTGTTTACATGTGCTTGAGTGTCCCAGTTATGAATCCTGATCCCGTCAGATCTCAGAAGCTCTAAGCAGAGCCGGACCTGGTTGGTACTTGGATGGGAGACCACTGGGAATTCCAGGTGCCACAGGGGGGCGCCAGTGGCAAAAACTGTCGTCGTGTCCTTAGGCAAGACACTTCACCCACATTGCCTAGTATGAAAGTGGTGTGTGCGTGAGTGATGGTGGTTGGAGGTAATGGTGCAGATTGGCAGCCTCGCTTCTGTCAGTCTGCCTCAGGGCAGCTGTGGCTACAGTAGTATCTTATCACCACTGAGTGTGGAATGAATGAATAATGAACTGTAAAGTGCTTCGGGTATTTTGAAAGGCGCTATATAAATACTTTCAGTATTCTGAATATGCCAGTATCCCGGTGATGAGAAACCAGGAGACTGTCACAGGGTTTTTCAGAGAGGATCCAGGACACTGTTAGTCCAGGCTGGTGCCACCTAATGCCTCTGCTCAATTTCATTTCTCTCCAGCAACTAGGTCAGGAATCAGAATACACTAGATGGTTTGTAAGAACCCCGGAAGTGTGAGTCCAGGTAGCAGCCAATCAGCAAAGAGCCATACATTCTGTGTTGGCAACGATTCCCGAGATCGAGGATTTAAAGCCGGAACAAAGAGAATGTTTGGTGAATTTTATCAAGGGGAAAGACGTTATTGTCCTTCTTCCTACAGGATTTGGGAAAAGCTTAATATACCAGTTAGCCCCGTTAGCGGCGCATTACATATGTCACGACCAAATAGCAGTGATTGATTAATTAAAAAGTACCCGCCTACTGTCGAGCAAACAAATCCTAACACTGCGAGGTCAGACAGTTTGCACGAAGTGAAACCAGCTGATGAATCAGGCTAGGGCACTGTGGCCTGTAGACGCAGTATCCTGATTTCTCAAACTGGAGCTGCACTGAACATGTGCAAACTCAAGTAACAAAAACGGCAGAAGCAGTCACTTTCCCAAAATGACTTAAACTCCTAACAGGACGTTTTAAGTAATAATGTTTTATACTTATGAACAAAATAAAGCAGTTTACTGTGCAATACCTTTTGACACCAGGCTCACTGGTAGTGGTTTGTGTGTTGAACTAAACTCAAACTGTATGATTTTGTTGTATTTTTCAACGGTTAAAAATGAAGTTACTGAAGTTGTGACACAGCTCCACAATCTCATGTCCTTACTTGAATGTATGTCTTATTTTTTGTTGTTAGAAACCCATCTAAATATCCAGGATACTCTGATAGTGCATATACACAGAGACTTGAGTATCCTAGTTTCTGAGCGCGCATAGAAACAACAAATCCAGAATACTGTCATAACCGGGATAAATCTCATAACCGGAATACTGTTGCGCATGTACAGTAAACGCACTCACTGTGGGGTTTGTGAATGTTAAGTGACGTCACGCCTCTCACGATAATTGACTTATTAAACGACTTACTGTTCACATACATGTTCGATTATTTTTAGGGGTCAGTATTTATCGCGAGGACTTTCCCTTTCTTCTAGTACTAATCGGTATAACTATTTAGCATCTATATTTTGATCAGCAATGCATCATACTTCAAAATACTGTATGTTCTGGTGACGTCAGTATAAATAACATAATAGATAATGACAGATCCTCACTGCTGTTTCCCTGTGTTGTTCCTGCAGACTAAGACTCTGAGCGTCTCTGGGCTCCCTGACGTTCCCTCCATCCCGTCTCCGGGTCAGGCCTTTGGGTACGAGGAGGACGGAGAGGGGGGTCTCCTCCGGCAGCACCCCCCTCCACGAGACAGAACCCTGGGGCCCGCCTACTACAACACCCTGGAGGTAACATCAACATGCACAGTGTTCTCGAGTGTTAAAGCGCTCATGACACGTTTTCATATTTTTCTGTGGGAAATATTTATCCTAGTTTGTTTGTTCATATTTTCATAGGTTTTAAAACGTCTTCCTACTCCTTTTGAGCTTCATGGACTCCGTAGCTTATTACTGTTCGTCATATTTTATCTCTTTTTTTATAATAATTATTGGGAACTGAATGTATCATCTTGCGATTTTTACCTGTTGCTCAAATACATTTTTTTTGTTTGGTTTGTGTTGACTCGAAGCTACTGCTAAGTTTTCTTGAAACATAAAATCTCAGGTTAAAATCTGGACAAGAACCGAGATGCTGTTAGCCTGATTCATCAGCCGGTTTCATTTCGTGGAAACCTTGCAGCATTAGGATTCGTTGGCTCTATGGTAGGCGAGTACTTTTTTATTTAACCAATCGCTGCTATTTGGTCGTGATGTATGTAATCCTGTAGGAAGAAGGACAATAACGTCTTTCCTTTGATAAAATTCAACATTCTCTTTGTTCCGTCTTTAAATCCTCGATCTCAGGAATCGTTGCCAACACAGAATGTCTGTCTTCGTCTATATCCATCTCAACTCTTTGTTTACTGTTGTGCTGTTCCACAAAAAGGGACCCAGACAGGCGCTTGAGTTTGATGTCATGACTTCACAGCTCTTCACTGATTGGCCGGTGTGCGGTCTACAACTTCTGGGGTTCTTGCAAACAGTTTCGTGTATTCTGATTCCTGACCTAGTCGCTGGAGAGAAATGAAATTGAGTGGAGGCACTAGGTGGCTCCAGCCCGACTAAGATGCTGTGGCCCCATAACAAAATCAGGCGAGGACAAAAACAGCAACATTCAAAGCCTTGTTCTGGGGTATTTATTTTAAAATGATCTAAATACTGCTGTTGTCAGTGTACGTGGATTGTGGATTGTGTGCTGCGGGAGCACGTGGTGTGAATGAGGATCTGTTTGAAAATGGTTGTAATGAAATGTACGTGTTGAAATGTACGTGTTGAAATGTGTGTGTGGGTGCCAGCAGAGCGGTGGCAGGACGAGGAGAGAGAGAGACAGCGGTGGCAGCAGTCGGCGTTTAAAGCTCCAGGAGCTCACTGGGCCCGAGTGACTCCTGGTCACCTCCTGCCACTGAACCTCAGGGCAAAAAACACAAGTGATGAGGCCAACAGGGACTATAACTATGGTAAAGACTTTTGTGTAGATTAATTCAGTTTGTGGTATTATTTAAAGACCTATTCGGCAACATCGACTTTTCAGAACTTTTAAATATGTATTTGTTTACTTTCGCCATTACACACCCGAAGTTGTATTTGGAGTGATTAGTGCATGTTTGAGTAATCTTTAATTGCTTATTTTCAAGACGCCATTTTGCCCATTAACTTCTGTTTTCACTTCCACCGGGGTATGGCCACTTCTCTGTACTAACTTTGTTTTCCAATTTTATTTTCTTAATTGGTTATACATGTAGGATTCAGCAGTGTCTTGTACTCATTTTGAGTACATGAATGAAAAATATCTGGTGCTCGCTAGCCTGATCTGTAGCTGTCCATTGGAGTTGCTGACTCTTTGTTTCATTTATGGAGACATAAGTAGTTCTATGCAGCTATTCCGACTTGCCGCTATTTAGACATTGACGTCTAATTGTCATAGTAGCGGCTTAAACATTATTTTTCAAGTGTCCCACTACTTTGACATTGTCGGAGTAGTGGCACTTTACTATTTTTCAAACATTCTGCTTTTCCGACGTGAATAATATTAATGTGATAGCCTGTTATACTTTGCGTTCCCATATATTATAAGATCAAAGAATATGTGGGCCACTGAGGATGTCAAACAGTGGGAAAATGTCCTAATTGAGCCGTGGGAAACAGTCATGGGTTTTAAAAAAGAGCATAGTCCAGCCTTCAGGAAAATATCCTATAAAACGGAGGCTGCACGGGCCCTTTGTGCTTCATTCATGTTGAGATTAAGAACATCGAAGAAGAGTGAGAGATGCACTTGGGTAGACTGTCGCAACTCTCAAAATCAAAATACGTGTTGGAATAGCGATACTAAAAAGTGCTGGAAAACCGGCATGTCTAAAAAGAGACATGTCGCAATGAAGCAGAGGTGGGGGGAACAAGTCGTTCTTTTACAAGTTTCAAGTAAATCTCAAGTCTTTCACCTCAAGTCTGAGTCAAGTCCCAAATCAAATACAGGCAAGTCCAAGTCGAGTCGAGAGTCACTGGCCCATAAGTCCAAGTCAAGTCCAAGTAATTTAATAATAATAATAATAATGCATAAATTTTATATCGTGCTTTTTGGACACTCAAAGACGCTTTACAGATCATTATTCATTCACTCCACACCCAGTGGTGGTAAACTACTTCTGTAGCTACAGCTGCCCTGGGGCAGACTGACAATCTGCACCATCAACCCCTCCGACCACCACCAAGACTCACACACACAACACTTTCATACTAGACAATGTGGGTGAAGTGTCTTGCCTAAGGACACAACAACAATTTTTGTGACTGGTGCCCCCCGTGGCTCCTGATTTTCCCAGTGTCTCCCATCCAAGTCCCAACCAGGCCCGGCCCTGCTGAGCTTCTGACATCTGACGGGATCAGACTTTGACAAGCTGCTATGGCCACATTTGCATTTGCTTTGAGCTTCAAGTCATTTCAAGTCTTTAAACCAAAGTAATATAGCTTAGATTTTTGCAATGTATATAAAAAAAAAAATCTGTATTTATAGAGTATGCAAAAGTTATAGAAATCAATTTAGTTATTTTTCCTTTTTAAATGTTTTTAAATGATCTTAGTGTGAATCTTTACTTGTCAGAAAAGTCAAAAGAATCAGAATCAAAGATTTAAAAAAGAACAAATTCAGATTTAAAAGTGCTTCCCAAGTCTTCTCAAGTCACTGACCTTCAAGTCCAAGTCGAGTCTCGAGTCTTAGTCCATTTTATCAAGTCAAGTCTCAAGTCCTAAAAATAGTGACTCAAGTCTGACTCGAGTCCAAGTCACAGCCTCTGCAATGAAGGGATGTCAGAATAGGCGGTGGACACTGACGCCAGCTCGCGTTGGTCACCACAATTTTCTAACACACAACTCAGCGCATTTGATTCTTTTATTATGTCGTTTTAGATGAATATTATGATTTAAAATGTCCAAATTACAAGAATAATCACCCACAGCGTCATAAATTATAACTGTAGAGCAAACACAAGCACGATATCTCTAAATCAGCATTAGCTTTGACACACTAAGACCTTTTTCCTCAACAGAGATGTGCCCTCCATTTTTTAACATGTTTTCAGTGACATTCCTCTGCAGCTCCCCGTTCACTGTGGGATCTGTCTGGATTTATTGATTTTAGCGCGACTCCTCAAACCTCACAGCGATGGGAACCAAAGTGAAGTTTAGTATAAGCCCGTTGTTTACTTCCCGTAAGACTCCCTTCGCCCTGGCCTCGATCTACCCCACTGCGCTTTGATAAAACACGTCTCTTCTCTCTCGTCTTTGGCCCTGTCTAAACCCCAGCGCCTCCTCACCACGCGGCGACCGGTTCAAAAGTGTACGGCAGAATTAAGGAGCTGTCTGAGCTACCCGGCTGTGACCTGCTTTTCTAAAACTCGCTCGTTTTAATGGTTCTTTTTAGTCCAAAGTGTTGTGAAGACTCCAGCGTGGCCGACCGCAGAAGCAGACACACATTATTACCGACTGAAGATGTTGGTGCATTATTCAGAGAACTTTTTTTTTTTTTTTTTTTTTGTCTTTTGGCGCACACTGAGCCAGACTCGTTATGTAACATTAACATACTGGTATTAGCATAACGACGTGTGAATGTGCGAAATGGACTTAGACCAAGAGAGAAGAAAACAGACACTTTTACTGAGGTGTGATAAAGACTTTTGATGGCGTATGTTAAAGATGCACTATGGAGCTTTTCTAGAGGAGAGTGTTTCCATGGAGATGTTATTGCTTTGTCTAGAATGTTCCTCAATATGGCATTTACTCTCGGGGTTTTGTAACATGTTTTAAAAAAAGATCATTTAACGTGGACAAATTTGTAGAGAAACGTTGGTGTTTCCGGCCTTGATCTGTTGGTGGTGAAGAGGAGGAAGAGATGGAGAAGCTGAAGAGGCTGATGGTTCTACTGCTGTGGTGAAGATGAGGCAGGAAGAGGAAGGAGAGCAGGGTAGCCGTGGGGTCTTAAAAGTCTTAAATACATCTTAAATTTCATGTTCTTAAATTAAGGCCTTAAAAAGTCTTAAATTATGTTGTCCAAGTCTTATTTTTTTTCACAAAGGTCTTAAATTTCATTAGCCTATTTTTTTGTAAACTCAACCGGGCTGCAGTGCGATGTTAAATGGAGGAAAACAACGTGAAATATCTTAACGTGAATGAAAGTCTAATTTGGAGTGTGCACAAACAATACTTTGGTTTTTGGCATTGGCGGCAGTGAGTACACACCCAAGACGCAAGAGTCCGGTCAGATGTGCTCAGGTTGCGTACATGTTTACATCACATACATCACCACCGAGCGTCACCACTGAGCATCACCACCGAGCCGCCTGACATGCACCCAATCCAGTTCCACACACTTTTGCATCACTGTACGCACACAGATTTCCTACTGAAAACACTAGTCTAAACACGAGTTGCGTCTTCTGTTCAGACCGTTATCATATAAACGTAGCCTTAGATTCTAGATTTCGTACGGTAGTTGGTTGGTCATTATTAGAAGTAGACCTGGTGTTTTTCGCTCACATAATGGGTGCGATGTTGGTCTTAATTTTCATTTAAGTGGTCTTAAAAAGATCTTAGAAATGTCTTAAATTTGGGGTAGTCAAACCCGGGGATACTCTGTCCATGATCGTTATATCCACAATGCAATGTGTGTATGTGTACAGGCCCATGAACATTTGTGTGATATTGGTCACATATGAGAATGTCTGTGTTTACTAATGTGAAACCAAAATGTCATTTTTCATAAATTGTGTATCTGTTAGTTGTGTGACTGTAGATCAGTGTGTTGTGTATCACCAGAAAAACAAGAAATGGAAATTATTTTAGTTCCAATTAGAATTTTAACAGCATAAACTGAAAGAGAAAGGGACTGTTATAATTAGTGATTATCTCAAAAACTATTCATATTTGACTATACAAATGCTTAGAATTATAAATAGATAATAATTTTTCTGAGACTTTGAAACCACTTCCGTTGCTCTAGCTCGATCCTTCGTGGAGTTATGACCAAAAACACATATTTGGCCTTGACCAGTTTCAACCTGTAACATCCAGTGTCCCCCGGTTAAGTGTGTGCCAACTTCTGGGTGAATATTTTAGCCCGCAGATGGTTCAGAAATTGCCAAAATTGCCGATCCTTTATAATGGCGTGACTTTTCAACTGATCCCTGTGACCTCAAATGACCTCAGATCGTCACCAAACTTTTTTTTTTGCGGCATCGGGCACGGGGGCTTGACCCACGTACCAAATTTGGTGACAATCGGTCCATAAATGGTGGAATTATCCCGGGTGGACAGACACACAGGGTGAATACAAAACCTGGTCAACCCTTCAGGGACCAGGTAAAAAAGGTCATTTAACGTAGACAAATTTGTAGAGAAACTTTAGCGTTTCCAGTCTTGATCTGGTGGTGGTGGTGAAGAGGAGGAGATGGAGAGGCTGAAGAGGCTGATGGTTCTACTACTGTGGTTGAAGATAAGGCCGGAAGAGGAAGAAGTGAATAGTTTGAGAGGTGATTGGCTGACGGAGACAGTTTTGAGCGTGACCAGCCCGGCTCAGGAATATTATTTACTGAACATGACATCAAATACTGCTGTTGGCAAATAGTAACTGCATTTATATTTATTTTGTGTATATTTTTGTGTTTGTGCAGACAGAAGAGCCGTCCTCTCAGAAGTACAGAGGCGTCCATTTTGGGAACAGGATGGGGAGGAGGAGGGACGAGGTGGGGGACGACCTGCCAGGCCCTGGACACTACTACCCCGAACTGTGAGTCTGTGTCTGATGTATGACTTTGGTTTATTCTAATAAACAATACACTGTCATTATGGCTACGTTCAGACTGCAGGGCTTAAAGCTCAATTCCGATTTTTTTGTGAAATCTGATGTTTTTGCGAGGTCGTTCACATTTCCAATTAAATGCGAGCGTGCTCTGTGTTTACGGAAGTTGTCCAAACATGGACGCGAGCATTGAGCACCTGGAGATTTTAAAGTTCCTCTCGTACCGGAGCCAGAACATGAACAACTTACTTGTTTTAAGGAGGAGATTGAGAAGGAGAAGGACGAGGTTTTTGGCCGTGGTGTTTTGTGGGGCAGTGGCAGCGACGTCCGTTGGAAGGAACGTGTGGATGTGGAGATGTAGCCAAGAGTGGTGAGTGGTGATGTGCTTCACTTCAGTCACACTGAGTTCATTAACAATTTTCGGCTACTTTAGCGCAGAACAGTGACATTTGTGGCTTGTTGATAACGTGTAGGTGGATGAATGCACTTTGGCCGTTCAGACTGAAGTCGCATGTCAAAAGATCAGATATGTATCAGTTTCAGGAGCACATATCCAAGTGACTTGGGTCACATGTGAAAAAATCGGATCTGTGTCGTTCAGACTGTCATTAAAAGATCAGATCCGGGTCACATAGGGGCCAAAAAATCAGATTTGGGTCACTTCAGGCTGCAGTCTGAACGCAGCCTATGTTTGGGTATTTGGTTTTGGTTAGTGTGTCTTGCTGTGCCCACATCTGGGTCTTGCTATTCGCACCTGCATTTAAACACTAACTCACTAACAAGGACCACGCTACAACAATGGAATACGATAAAGACGTGTATTGACGGTGGATAGATCTGATGGCCGGGGTGATTCTTGAGGGTGAAGTATAGTTCTGTGTCGACTCAACGCTCACTGCCGCCATCGCCTTTACTGCTGTCGTTTTTGATTTATGGGAACCCCCCCTTCCTTGAAGATATTGTCTTCAGACTGAAGAGTGAATGAAATACATGGGTGGGAGGGGCTTCTGGGTAATTGAAGGTGTGGTTGAGATGAGCCGCGTTTGGCTGGAGAGGAGGTTGAGGCATAGTCCAGCTCCTGAATCATTTTAACTCCATCTCCTCTTTTCTAAATGTTTTTTTGTGTGTGTGTGTGTGCTATTAATTATCAATAGTTCTAGTGCTTTGGGTCCTTTTTTGGGCAATTTTAGTAAATTCTAGGTAAATTTGCAGCAAAAAATGAGTTTGTGCTGCCCCAAATGATCTCTGCGGTTTCAAGCACAACATGACATCACACAGAACTGCCCTTACAGCCAGATGCTTTCTTATTACAAATTCCTGGCTGCAGTCTCTAAAAACCAAAACCACTTTTTAACTGATTATCTGTGTAAATGGGCTAAAATAGAAATCTGTACCTATCCCTGGCCTTATTTTGGCATTTTAGTGTATCTTTGTTAAAAATCTGACTTTTGGGTCAAAAGCCGTGAATTTCCAGGTTGGACAATGAGTCAGCTGCAGGGTTATTACATGACAAGCACAGCCACTCACGGTCAGCTCACGGTCTATGGGCGGTAAGTGAGGAGCCACCCTTAGCCTCGCCTATACCTAGTTGCTCTCTGTGGCGAAACTCGCGGCGCTGTCACTCTCCATTGGCAGTTTGCTATTGTGAGATCTCACTGACCGGCGCTGTCCACTGGCTGTCACTGCCCCACACCATCACCCCCAACCCACACTCCCCAACGCGCCGAGTACTGCCCACTTTGTTTGATTTTTCAAATATTGACTGTGGGTGGAGTTAACTCTAGTGGTAGATAGAGAAATGCTCATTCAATAAAAATTTTGAGACTGCGTGCAGGTTCCAAAAACAAACATTATACAAAAGAAGAAAGAGATCCACCCTGCAGTTCTTTGAAGCTCACTAATTTTTATTTCAAGGACACCACAAGGTGACGTTTCGGGTCAAGCCCTTCTTCAAACACGTCTTTCATCTCTTGTACGGAGTTAACTCTAGCACAGGCATTTAGGGGCTCTTTAATGTTCCAGACCCCACCTCTCCCCCTCCCCACTCGCGCTCCCATTTAGTCCACCAGTACTACCCAGTTTAGAAGTTCTGTTGCAAATGTGGTTGTGAGTGGAGTTTAGGTGTTTAGTCCCACTTGTAGTTTGTGCTCTGTAGAGAATAAACCAAACTCGAGTCCGGAGCACACGTGACAAGGCCAAGGCCCACGGTCCGCATCCGGCCCACTAAGCCATTTTATGTGGCCCACAAGGGGTTAAAAGGTATAATTTATTATTATGTTGTGACTCTCTGCCGCTACTACATCTCCCACAATGCGCCACCGTTGTTTTCCGCGAAGTGAATGCATCCTGCCACGAGAGAGGCCAAGAAAACTCATCAAATCTCCTCAAAAATGTCCAAGAAAAGAAACATTGATGTAGAAGAATGGATATTTCATGAATGTTACTGAAGGAGTTATGTGAATGTCTTAACTTTGTAAATAGATCATTCCATAAACAAAACAGTTTCCAAAGTTCGGCACAATACAAATAAAACATGTCCAATAGAAATATAAACTAAGGCTCTACTTAACTCCACTTGTCCTCGTTAAGGCAATAAAACTAGAAAAATCTAATGAGAGCAAAAACACCCGTAAGTAATAAAAAGGCTCATTTGTGACATACCGATATTACAGTTACAGTCTTAACTTTACAACCGGTCCTTTGATGACAACCATGATCCAAACGTGGCCCTTGGAGAACATGATTTTGACACCGCGGCTCTAGAGGCTGAGCCAGTGTTTTGTTCATATTATTTTCCACATGTTTCACGTCCCGGTCGTCCGTGCTTTAACCAGTTGTCCTGCTGTGTGCAGTGTGCAAGAGACTCAGTACGAGAACGTGAACCTGAAGAGGGAGCAGAGGGTCCGCGCCGAGCTCCTCATCCCACGATACCACGAACTTGTACCTCTACAGGAACACAAGAAGGTGAGAGAGCAAGACACATTTTGCACAAATACATGGTAAAAATTTTCAGATAAGGGGTTCAAAGCCAGGCACAAATAAACTTCATGCTTTGGTGATAAAATGAGTTAAGTTTTCATTCCTTGGTTCAGTCCTCGTCAGTGTTGGGGAGTAACAGATTACATGTACCAGAGTTACGTAATCAGAGTACAAATTATGAGTAACTGTATTCAGTTACAGTTACTGTTTAAGTGAGTGGTAATTGGATTACAGTTACTTTGTTGAAATAAATGGATTACATGGTGGTATTTTCCTGTTTTCACATTTTGGGCTAAATCCCTTTTTTTTTTTTTTTTGGTAATTCCACTCATTGCCAGGACACTAAACCAGGTCCCAGGTCTAAACCCAGGTCCACAAACCAGGTCTAAACCTGGTCTAAACCTGGTCTAAAACAGGTCTAAAACCAGGTCCTAAACCAGGACTAAACCAGGACTAAACCAGGACTAAACCAGGACTAAACCAGGTCTAAACCAGGTCTAAACTAAACCAGGTCTAAACCAGGTAAACCAGGTCTAAACCAGGTCTAAACCAGGTCTAAACCAGGTCTAAACCAGGACTAAACCAGGAAAACCAGGTCTAAACCAGGTCTAAACCAGGTCTAAACCCAGGTCCAAAACCAGGACGGATCTAAAACCAGGTCTAAACCAGGATCTAAACCAGGTAAACTGTCTCAAACAGGATTTAACAGGACTAAACCAGGCTGCATGGACCGTGTCTCCTCGTCTTCTATCAATAATATTTTTAATTTGGTTAAGTAAAATCTGGGCTTTTTATTGTCTTTTAGCAGACAAAACATCTTAAGTGAAGATTTCCTCGTCTTTGCTTCTCTACAGCAAATCAAGTAATCCAAAGTATTCAGATTACTTTACTCACTTTAAGTAATTTAATGGATTCCGTTACAAACAACATTCTGGTGTATGTAATCTGTAATCTGTAGGGGAATACATTTTAAAAGTCACCTTCCCAACCCTGGTCCTAGTTCAGACCTGGTTTAGTCTTCTTAGAGATCTGGTTTATCTCTGGTGATACTCAGAAAACCAAATATAAGTTTTAGAACCACTGATCACGAACCAAATCCTCAATTAATAATGAATATGGCGTTTCAGTTCCCCTCCGTGACCCCGGCGCGACCTCCGTATAACCTCTGTCTCTGCTTTACTTTCATTTGTGCGTTTGTTTTTCTGATAGTTTGAAAGTTGTTGTTTTTTTCATTTTGTGGCCGATGGCGTTTCTCCTCTCTGCCGCGGGGCCTGTTTTAGCTGGAATTCTGCTGAACTCATCTGCATCTCAGATTTTTTCGTTTTAGTATCACATCTTTAGTTTATCCTTCCCGTATTATTTTACCGCATTAACGCTGTTTTTCCATCTGCATTGTTCTAAATTACATAAATGTTTTACAATTTATGATCATACCAACTTTGATATATAGATTTAGGTTTATGTTCCATTAAATCCTAATACTTTTTCAATGTATTTTGTATTTACTGTCTGCCAAAAAGTCTAATAAAACAGAGTACGAGTTTATTAAAGGACTAAAATCATGTCTGGTCCTTAGGGTGCGTTGATGTGATGTGAATTTTCCGGTGTTGCCTAAAGGGGGCAGTATAACACAAGCTGCGGCGCCTAAAACAGCCCCACACTGCAAATACTGAATAGAGAATCTAATCTTTTGAATATTTCTGACTTGTTGTTTATTTTCTCCCTGGCTTTATTAAAATGACAAATAGTGGCCTTCTATATTTACTTTTTAATGATTCCGTCTCATATTTAAATGCGTGGTGTGATTTTGTGACTAGACGATGCGTTTCTTTGCAGCATTTATCACATTGTAGGGACTGAAATCCGTTTCCCGTTATGTAAATCGGTTCAGATATAGGTTAAAGGGCCCATATTGTGTTTGTGATGTCGTGTGGTAATACAGGAAGTGCTCCATACACCATCACTAGAATCATTTGGATCATTTCAGCCCTGGAATTGCCAATCTCTGTTGAACAAAAGGTAAGAGGTAACTTGAAAACTACTGCGTCATGACATCACAAGGTGGAACAGAGTGTTTTGAGCTTTGGAGATATAGACAGACTAAAAAGAAATGGTTACTCAAACATGTGTGAATGAAACAAAACAAAAAAAAAAAACAACTCCAGGTCTGTTTTTTGAGGAGGTAACAACAATATAACGTGGCTTAAAGGGGCATTGCGTAAATTTTCAGGTTGAGGGTCTGCTGCCATGAAGATGCTATTGTGCTGCCTGTAATGTTCCACAATATGGTATTATACTTAGGCTGCGTTCAGACTGCAGCCTGAAGTGACCCAAATCCGATTTTTTGGCTTCTATGTGACCTGTATCCGATCTTTTAATGACAGTCTGAACGGCACAGATCCGAATTTTTCAAATGCGACCCAGGCCACGTGGATATGTGCTCCTGAATCCGATACATATCTGATCTTTTGACATGCGACTTCAGTCTGAACGGCCAAAGCGCATCCATCCGACCTACACGTCATTAACAAGCGACAAACGTCACTATTCTGCGCTGAAGCAGGCGGAAACCGGAACTGTAAAATCGCCACAACTTCCGTAAACACAGAGCACGCTCGCTGCGGTTGATGCATGGGGTTGACGTCATCGTGTCTCCAGTACGCATGCGGGACACTTTCGGGCCAGACAAGTCGCATTTAATTGGAAATGTGAACGACCTCGCAAAAACATCGGATTTCACAAAAAAATCGGGAATTGAGCATTAAGCCCTGCAGTCTGAACGCAGCCTTAATGTATTTTTTGGACTGTAAGTTGCACTTTTTCATGGTTTGGGTGTTTCCTGCGACTTATACTCTGGTGTGACTTATACATTAAAATGTTCACACTGAAGTCGCGAGATGTTCTAGTCTTGTGTGTCAGTATCTGCTGCTCCTGTTCCTCCTGTACCACTGTCACTTGGCTCTACTGTGCATGTCTCCTGCAGAAAGAGCCTCTGTAAGTAGTGAAATATTCAGCCAAAAATGGTAATCGAGCAGCAAAAAGAAAGTTTGAAGTGAGTGAGAAACTTGGGAGGGACTGGTGGAGAGTAGCGATGAAGAACACAGCTTCACGGCAACCCAAAGGATGCACCATGCAACTTTCCTGGAAGTAACTGGATGGATGGACAAAGCCTGGACTTCAGTGACACAAAAACATCCTGTCAGGATTCAGAAAGACCAGAATAATTCTAACTGGAACTGAAGCTGAGTCTGACGACAGCGACACAGAAGAGGAAGCGATGCTCCATTTCCCTCCGGAAGTCATGGAGTTGCTCAGAAGTGACACCGAGGATGAAGAATTGAATGGATTTAGTGATTTGGAGTGAGATGGAGAGTTTGGTAAACTTGTTCTGTTGTTTATGTTATAGTTTATCTGAAGAACTGTTCATATGTGACGTTAACAGTCTGTTGTTCTCTGTTCTATTGTTTTTACTAGAACTTGACTTTCAAGATGAAATGTCGGTTCCTGTTCTCTGATTTTTCCCCCAAAAAGTGCGACTTATAAACATTTTTTTCTTCTTCATTACGCATTTTTTTGGCAGGTGCAACTTATACTCCGGAGCAACTTAATTGTCCGAAAAATACGGTATATAAGACACATTTATTCAATTATGGGTGGTTTTTTTTTTGCTCAAAAATACCTTTAAAAACCTGAAATCTTTGACAGATCTCCCCTGTAAATTGCCCTGTGGTCTCTCCCGCTTGTTTCTATGGAGACTGAAAAGCTTAATGCCATACTTTGGAATATTGGACGTAAAGCAATAACATCTCCAAGGCTTTGGGGAGGGGGGGATTTGTCATTCAGTCTGAACAGAAAATCAGCACCAAAACACAGATATAATTTTCATTTTCTCTTATTCAACCTGCACCTAATATGAAGCGCTTGAACTTCACACCCTGAGAACTAGAGCCAAATGTTCTTTTTTTTTTCTTTTTTTTTTCTTCCAAATAGCACAATGACTCACCGTCTGCACTGAGCTGTAATATTGTGTGCGTCATTTACAAGGGTCCAAATTTTTATAAATAAAAACATTAAGAGCCTGTCTGTACCAGAGCTAATGTATGACCGTGCTGATATTAAAGGTCCTGTATTACACAAACTGGACTCTTGTGAACTTTTAGCCATGTTAGAATGTTGTTACCTCATTAAAAAATATACCTGCAGTTCATTCACACATGTTTAAGTAATCCTTTATTATTAGTTTGTCTACATCTCTAAAGCTCAAAATGCTGTGATCCACTTTATGACGTCATGAGTCATAGTCATAGTTTTCAAGTTAACAGCTACAACTTTTACCTTTAGTTGAGTAGAGATGAGCAATCCCAGGTCTGAAATTATCCAAATGATTTTAGTGAAAGTGTAAAGTAAAGAGTTTAAAAACACAGTGGAGCTCTTCCTGTATTACCACATGACATCACAAGGTGGAACAGAGTGTTTTCCATTTGGAGAGAAGAACTCAGCCTAAATCTGCAGGGTTTGTGTGTGAAACATGTGTGCCATCCATCCATCCATCCATCCATTTTCGTCCGCTTATCCGGGGCCTGGGTCGCGGGGGCAGCAGCCTAAGCAGGGACTCCCAGACTTCCTTCACCCCAGACACGTCCTCCAGCCCAGGCCAGCAGAGAGACATAGTCCCTCCAGCGTGTCCTGGGTCTTCCCCGGGGCCTCCTCCCGGTGGGACATGCCCAGAACACCTCCCGAGGGAGACGCCCAGGAGGCACCCGGAACAGATGCCCGAGCCACCTCAACTGGCTCCTCTCGACGTGGAGGAGCAGCGGCTCTACTCCGAGCTCCTCCCGTGTGACTGAGCTCCTCACCCTGTCTCTAAGGGAGCACCCAACTACCCTGCGGAGGAAACTCATTTCGAGCGCTTGTATCTGCGATCTTGTCCTTTCGGTCATTACTGAAACATGTGTGAATGAAATAAAACACAACTCCATGTTTGT